ATCTTAATAAATTTTGACTTGGTATCTGTACGGATGATTGATCACAAGAGTTTTAGGGAATAAACAGCAAACAGATATATTTTAGGAAAGCCTGAATACCAACTGTGGAGTGTGCTGGATTTACTAATATGATATATAAATCACATGTTGACTGTTGTGCAACACTCCAATACAACTTCTATCTCACTAACATCAAAGATGTCCAATAACTTGCAATCTTGCAATGCTAACTTTGATAAAAGTATCATTGCAACAATACTTTCTATTGAAGTTATCTTGATAACCTTTCTTTTAACACCATCAAACGGCTCCTTGTAAAATCCAATGTCAACTTCATCACAATTATGCCTTCTAAGGAAATTCACCCAATTCTTTTGCAACACCCTCAAGACATTTACTCATCTTCAATCTCCTAACCTGCCAAAACTAATTTCTAACCTTCTTTCTCGTGAATCATTCCAAAGTACCTTCAAAACTTCACCCTTGTCATATCCCAAAGAAACAAAGAACAAAGAACGAAGAACAAAGAAAATTACAGCACAGGAACAGGCCCTTCTGCCCTCCAAGCCTGCGCCGATCCAGATCCTCTATCTAAACCTGTCACCTAGTTTTCAAGGATCTGTATCCCTCTGCCTCCTGCCCATTCATGTATCTGTCTAGATACATCTTAAATGACGCTATCGTGCCCGCTTCTACCACCTCCGCTGGCAACGCGTTCCAGGCACCCACCACCCTCTGCGTAAAGAACTTTCCATGCATATCTCCCTTAAACTTTTCCCCTCTCACCTGGAAATCGTGACCCCTAGTAATTGAACCTTTTAATCTTATAACTTATTACAGCAAAAGCACACTCACATCTTCAGTTCCATAACATTCTTTATAATTGCAACATTGGGTGACTCAGTGGTTAGCACTGCTGCCTCACAATGCCAGGGACTTAGGTTCGATTCCACTCTCAGGTGACTATCTGTGTGGAGTTTGCACATTTTCCGAGTCTGCATGGGTTTCCTCTGGGTGCCCTGGTTTCCTCCCAAAGTCCAAAGATGTGCGGGTTAGGTGGACTGGCCATACTAAATTGCCCATAGCGTCCAGGGATGTGCAGGCTAGGTGGGTTAGCCATGGGAAATGCAGGGTTATAGGGGTAGGGTAGGGGGTGAGATGCTCTTTGGAGAGTTGGTATGGGCTGCTTCCACACCATAGGGATTCTAGGACCTGAAAAGCACCTTCTAATCTTTAGTTTCATAACCTCATAAATAAATCTGCTCATTCTTTCATAGAATCCTTACAGTGTTGAAGCAGATCATTCAGCCCACTGAGTCCACACCTGCCCTCCAAAGAACATCCCACCCAGACTCACCTCCCACCCTATCCCTGTAACCCCACATTTCCCATGACTAATTCACCTAGCTTGCACATCCCTATGGGAAATTTAACATGGCCAATGCACCTAACCTGCACATCTTTGGACCGTGGGAGGAAACCACAGCACCTTGGGGAAAGCCATGCAGACATGGGGAGAATATGTGAACTTCACACAGACAGTTGCCTAAAATTGGAATTGAACCCAGGTCACTGGTGCTGCGAGGCAGCAGTGCTAACCACTGAGCCACTGTGCCACCCTTTGTCTTCTTAATCCTCTTAATCCTTAGTTTCATAACAAGCAAAGGCACTTTTTAATTTTCAGTCTCATCAATGTCTAACTGCACTTGCTAATTTTTCATCTTGCGACATTCTAGAAGCACCATCTCATCTTCAATCTGTTGTCCATAAAACCATAAGATGTCCTGTAAGATGTAGGAGCAGAAATAGACTAATCAGTCCACTACATCTGCTCTGCAATTCATTGAGATTGTAGCTGATCTGATCATTCTCAACTCCACTTTCCTGCCTTTTCCCTATAACCCTTGATTTCTTTACTGATTAAAAATCTGTCCTCAGCTCTGAATATATTTAATGACCCAGCCACTACAATTCTTTGCAGTTAAGCATTCTATGAATTCCCTGCCCTCTGCGAGAACAAATTTCTCCCCGTCCTTGTTTTAAAAGTGTGATAACTTATTCTCAGTTATACCCTCTTTACCTAGACTCTGCCACAAGGAAAACCAACCTTGCCACGTCTACCCTGTCCAAGTCCCCCAAGAATCTTGCATGTTTCATCCATGCTTAATCACATTCCAATCATTGATGTCCTGCAACGTACCACGTTTTTTAACCACCAATTTTCAATTGTGTAATATTCCATAAAAATGAAACCTTCAATTTTTAGTCTCCGTTGTGCCCTTCTGTTTCATGAAATTGCAAAGAAATCTTCTAATATTCAATTTCACAACTATCACAACAATATATTTCAGTATTGTGTTGCAATGTACTAAAGACATATTCTGATTCCCATTTTCACAATTTCAATCATCAGTACCACATTCTAAAAACATTCTCAAACTTTCATTTCCATAATGATGTCTTCTGGTTGTCTCACATCCCAAAGGTATTACCTAGTTTGTGTCCATCAACTTTGCAGTCTACAACATCTGAAAGATAATTTCTAAGTGTTAGTTTTAAAATACCACAGACATCTCTTAATCTTCTGTCATACATTTCAAAGACACTAACTTATTCTCTGTCCTGCAATAGCCCTAAAGTACCTGTTAGTCTTCAACACACAGCACATCACTACCACTTCGTACCTTTTCATCCAACATTCCTACTAACCTTCAGTTTCACAACACATTACACATTCTTGTGTTCAATTTTACAAACAGCAGAAAGAAACCTCTAATTTCATTTCTTAAGTGCCTAAAAGTACAGGTTTCTATGTTGCAAACTTACAAGAGCACTCCCTAATCTAATCAGTATCCTACCCATTATAAAGTTAACTTGTAATTTTCTGATACACAACATTTAGGAAAACACCTTCTAATCTTCAATCTTGCAACACCCTGAAGACACATTCTAATCTTCAATATTTAAAGTAATACTTAATTCCTGAATATTAAGAATATCTATTCTTTCTGACTAGGTACAAAAGTTCCAGAAACTTCCTTTCAGGAATGCCCTTTCCAATGCACTTTAGCCTACATGTGACTCCAGACCCACTGCAATGTAGTTGACTCTTAAATGCCCTCTGGGCAATTAGGGAAGCAACAAATGCTGGCCTGGACAGTGATGACCTCAGCCATGAATGAATTAAAAAAAGTTCATCAATGGAACGACTAGGATTCTGCAATATACTATGAGAGCCATTTTCATGTGTAGGTATTAAATATTTTTGGTTTGTCTCTGATTTTATCCTTTGAAAACCAGTTCTCATAAACGAATGATGTGAATTTGGTGGAATGGACACATTATATGTATTCTTTATAATTTGATGCATGCTGATTTTTGTAATTTCATCCAATATGAAATTTCTCCTTGACTAACCTACTTTTGACCTAGAATCTACCTCAATCATTCGCATGTTGCCTAAATTAGAAAAAGCTCCACAAAGTGAATGTCATGCAGCAGATATTGGACTTCTGTTGCTATACACTTCTTTTAGCCCTATACCACATCTATAACACTATGGCATTTTTTGATGAAGTCTCAAACTGTATATAGCAAATTAGAAAGTTTCTCTAATAAACTCGAATTCCATAAACACTAAGCAACAGCAATCTCAAACTCCAATATGGAAACTATGATAATTTGTTGCTCATACAGCAAATTGTAAATCACAATTTCTGGACAATGGCACCTAATTTGCCCATATCAACACACATACTAATCACTCACATCAGACTCAAAAATACACTAATGGAAGAAGTCAACATATTCTACTACCTTTGATTTACTGTGAGAGACAGCCTGTATTTTAATGAGGAGTTTAACACATGCATTGACAAGGCAACCATCAACTTTGGCCAAGAAACAAAACAGGCATGACAAAACAACAAATTGACTCCAGAACCAAGATAAATATGTACAAGGTCTGTATGCTCTGCTCATTGTTGTATGTCGGCAAAACCTGGATAACTTACACTCACCAAGTGACAAAGGCTCAAAAACTTCCAACTCTGGTGTGTACAACACATTCTTGACATTACACAGAAAGACAAAGTCACCAACGAAGCAACTCTTCCTGGGGCAAACATACCATGCATGCTAGCACTAAATCAAGCAAAGAAGGCTTCATTGGCTTGGTCACATCCCCTAGGATATATTATACAGGGAGGTAGCTTATGCCAAGAGACCTGCAGTTCATCCAAGGCTCCAAATCAAAGATGCTGTTAAAAGAGTCTTCAACACTTATTATGTCAAGTTGGAAATTATAACTATCGATATAAATGGTGACAACTGGCAGACGTTCACAAGCATGACAATATGTGGTTTATGAAGCTCTAAGCATTTGCCAGTCCTGCAAACAAGTTATTAACAGAGATCATTCCATACCACCAGCAAGGTGCAACTTTATGCATGGCACTTGTAGCAAACTTTGCCTGTCCAGAGTGTGTGTGTTCAGTCTTCAAAAGAAATGCAACTTATCTGTCCTCACCCAAAGTTCTGCGGCTGTATTTCCATCATCCCTTGTAGATGTAAGGATGCCAATTACCCATGTCAACACTCCTATCCTTTTGCCCCATAAATTTCTCCAAAGTATTTCAGCTCAACAATTTCTAACTTTTGTTTATGAAACATTATCTGAACAGCAATATTTACCATGAAAGCACACTTATATTCAGACTGTAAGTAGCTTTTTGGAGACTCAGCTAATTAAAAGAAACAAGTTTCTCTGCTTTGGTTGCTTCAAATTTGGATGCTCTCGCTGCAATGGTTAACTAATTGTTGAACAGTGGAGTCCCAAAGGTCTGGGTTCACTGAATAACTGAGGTCCCACTGAACCCAAATTCTCAGTATCTCCTTTATGCACCCACAGAACCTAACGCTGTACTGGGTTATGCTTTTATGCCTGGGCATCAATGAAGGTGAGCTGGTTCCAGCAAGGGGACCAATTCAGACGTCATCCATCACTCCTGTGCCTTTCCAAAGTTATAAGAAGGTTCACCTGAAAAAGAAACAACAGAAAAAAAATCAAAAATAATAACAAACTTAGTCTGAACAGTTGTGGTACTATCGCTTTCTCTTCTTTTAAGTCTCATTTATCTGGGAGCTCTGCAATCACTAAATGAAACAACAGTAGGGATATTGGAGAAACCTCAGGAAAATTCAGAGCATGTAGACTATTATAAACTCAGAAAGACTTGGAGCAAGAGTTACTGGAGTCCAGTACAAATATTAATGTTCAAAGAGCAATGAGCAGACACTGATATAGGCCAGTGGTAAATTTAGCAACTTATTATCAGATAGAGCAGAAAAACTTCACTGATAAACAAGGGGTAAATGAGCACTGATTCCTCCTGTTGTTCCAAAGGTGAAGTGCAGCTGATCGCAGGGATTCTTATAGGAGAGGGGGGAAGAGTTTGCAATGAGATAGTTAGAGAGAACTGGGAGAATGGGAAGAGTGAAGGAAGCCATGAGAATTGAGCATTGAGGAGAGGAAGTGCAAATACAAACTGAGGATAGGAAGAATGTGATAAGTACAGGCAGAAACTGAAATGGGTGAGAAGTGTCAGCATGAACATGCTGGGAGAAAAATATGATCATCAAAGGGGTGGTGAAAGGAGGTAACAGTGTCACTATGGCAGCAGAGTATCCATTCAAAAATAACTTGGATTTTTTTTCAGCTTTGAGAGGTGATAGAGGTACAGAAGATAATAAACTGAATGAAAAGCTAAATTGAGAAATCACTTCCATTTAAATTGTGAGAGATTCTATTTACTGAAATAAATTAAGCAAGAGAAAAGGATACCAGTCCAAAGCTGTGTGCTCCCCCTTTAAAAGTGGATATAACATGGACCACCACCCACCTTCTGTTAGCCAGCAGCTTCTGGGTTTACCATTGTTAGAGTCTTAACCACTTACATTCTGTATCAGTGACATGGATGAAGGGGTCGGATGCATGGTAGCTAAATTTGCTGATGAAACCATGATGGGTAGGAAAATAATTTGTCAAAATGAAGTAAAATGTCTGCAAAGGGATATGGATACATTGAGTGAGTGGGCTACAATTTGGCAGAGGACAATGTGGGAAAATGTGAACCTGTCCACTTTGAATAGAAAAATTGAAAAGCAGCAGATAATTGAAATAGAGAGAGAGACTGAAGAATCTGAGGTACAGAGGGATTCGGATGTGCTAGTACATGATTCATAAGAAAAGTCCTTTCAGGTACAGCAAGGAAGCAGTTTATTATAAGGGGAATGCAATGTAAAAGTAAGGAGGATGTACTGCAGCTATACAGGACTTTGGTGACTGCATCCATGTATGGTTTTGGTCTCTTCTGAAAAAGGAATTAACTGCATTAGATGCAGTTACAGAGATGGTTTACTCATTATTCTGGAATGAAGGATTAAATAAAGGTTAGATAGTCTGGATCTGTAATCATTGGAGTTTAGAAAAATGAATGGTTTAGAAAATTGAAACATTTACGATCCTGAAAAAAGAACTTGATAAAATGGGTACTGGGAGGTTATTTCCTCTTGTGTGAGAGACTAGAAGTGTGAGACACAGTTTAAGAATAAGATGTCTCTTATGTAAAATAGAGATGAGGAGAAATTATTTTCTTTCAAGGGATTGTAAGTCTGTGAAACGAGAGTAGTCAAGACTGGGTCATTTCATTTATTCTCTGCAGATTTTTGATAAATGAAGGAATCAAGGGCTACAGGTGGAGGACAGGAAAGTGGAGGTTATGTCACAACCAGATCAGCCATGATGCTATAGAATGGTGAAGCTGGTCCGAACAGCCAAATGGCCTCATATTGCTCCAAGGTTCTCTGTTTCTATTTTTTGCTCTTTCCAGTCTGAATGGATGGGAAAGCCAGCTGTAAGCTAATGCAGTCCAAGCAGACTTCATTCCTGGAGCAGTGTGGGAGTCTGTACCTCTTCTCACTACCACCTGAAGGTAAAATTAGGGCCTGTACATATTTGTCAGTGTACCCAGAGTCCACTTACACGTGGAGGATCAATTGCCTTCAAGGGGTTGAAAGGCTATTCGGATGCTTGGCCATCACAATAAAGCCTGACCTCATCCACACCTGACATCTACGTATGTTAGATTTCTACTCGATGTGTTTACATAACAGTGAGTATGGCAAGACTTGACTGATTTCTGCTCACACTAACTTTGAGGCCCACTGTGGTTCCTGAATATTGCCCTGCGAGCATATACTGATGACTGAATTTAAGATCTTTCAGGTTTAAATAACTCAAATCACTCATGAAGTAGCAATCTAGTGAGCTCCTCAGCCACAACTTAATGCATGTCCTCCATTCACCTCACATTCTCAGGCAGAGTGGAAGGACTTACCTCTGGGTGATGAAGGAAATGAGTTTCTAAGTTGTTCCATTACATCCTCTAGGTGCAGCACCATATCTTGGGATATACCAGCACTGTCTGACACATCTGTGAAAAAAAATTAGGTACACACTGATTAAGACTGATCACTTTCTCAGTTGAAGTTACATAGGCTAGGAGGATGAAATAAAATAGGATGTCATGTCTGTCCCAATCTACAATTAGGTTAATTCTAGGCAATAGGAATTGGATTGACTGAGGAAGTTAGGTTTAGAAAATGGCTGGAGGCTGCTTGCAAGAGGGCACAGAAAATGATAATAGAGCCAAGAACAAATTTCCAGCCTGTCTGAAGTCTCCTCAAGGATTCCCTTGTACATTTCCAGGCTCTGTTGTCTATCTGAGTGTAGGTGCTAAACAATGTTCCATCCTCCTCGAACTGGAAAACTACAACATGTAAATGACATCCAGTCCTTAAAATGGCATTGGCCTTGTGCCAACAAGAATGAGCACACTTTATTCTCCCATTTGTTAAAATCAGCCCTAACGTCCATCTTTCTATGACCTAAGCAAGTACTGAAATAATAAGCCTTAGATAAATGCTCATATCTGATTGTTTTACACCTGCCATCAAACCTACTTGAATTTTTCTGAGGGGCTTGATAGTGATGGATAAAGGAACATTTAAAGATGGTGTCAACATTGACTGCCAAAAGGCATTTAAGAAAATTGGAAATAAAATGCAAGTACTTAGAATTGGAGGTGATCTTGAAACATGGATCAATAAAAAGTTGGGATGTAGGAGACAGGGACTGAGGGTACATGGAACGTCTCAGTTTGGGGATAGATACCAAGAGATGTTGGCTCTGGTACCTAATAACATTTCCTGCCCATTTCATTTCCTGTGTCCTTCTTACAGTAAACCACATTGCCCCATCTAATCTCTACAGGATGGTCTGATGTGATGCCTCCACGCTCGCCTAAGCTTTTCTGATGCCTCAGCCTTAAAAATTACTTTTCTGCCAGTGTGTTATGCATTCAGATGACTGTAAAATATAAAGCTGATCATTGCTCCTTCTAGTGGTGGAGGATTATCATGATTATTGCCTTTCTGACTGTTGACTAACTAGCAACTCCCCCAACCAACTGTAAGAAATGTTTTATATGAATTGCTATGCCAGTGATTTCTGTTGCACATGCCATAGCTGAACTGACTTTCTGCTGTTGTACGCATTACTATAATATTGAAGTTCTCAAACATATCCCACAATTCATCAGTCAAAAATTCATCTCCTTTATCCGATAAGGATTTTGCTGGTGACCCAATGCCTAGCCTGATCCACTTTTCCATGACTTTGTCCATTACAGTCCGTTTTATTGTTTATCACCATGAACATGTTAAAGCTTGTCACCACATCTACAAATTGCAACAGATAGACATTCTGACCTTTGCCTTCAGATTCCTAGCTAATACATTAGAATCTGCAATCTCTCTTCAATATCCAGGTCAGTTCACCCAGATCCAGAAATATTTTACTTCTGATTTTGCTCCTTCCTATTGAGCAAAAGCCAAAACTATACCTGGCTTCTTCTTGGTTACAGAAGTGACCCGAGTCCACATCTCCACCTCATTCTTCCACTGCTTGTATGATCCCAATTCCAAAAGACACTGGCAGATAATCATAGTTCTGCAGAAACAGGGTCTATCCTCCACTTTTCTTGTCTTCCCATCTGAAGAGATTGGGCTAATTCTCAGCTACTACGTTTAACAGATTGTATCCATATGCTGAATTAGGCAGCAAAAATCTTTAAAACATTTCTATTGTAAGTATATGGTTTACCACAAGCACCAGCCTCCAATTTCCCTTTTGGATCCTTTTCTTGTCCAGATCTTGATCGCACCACTGGCACAAAATGCAGCTTTTTAATATTTTCTAATCAACCTGTTCAGGGATGTATTTACCTCTGGAGTAGTTGGGACTTGAACTCAGGCTTTCTGGTTTGGAGAGAGGGACACTACAATTGGGAAATAAGACCTCTCAAAAGGTCTTAAAGGTAAAGTCCATTGAACATCATCTACTTGCAATTAACTCTGGAACTGTTTCAGTTTACCCTCAAAGAGACCCACATTTCTAACATTGTCAATGTAGGTGGAAACAGGGATTTATAAAGGACCACAGTCAGATTAACTGAGCTGGCAGAAGTGTAGCATGTGGCATTCAGGGCGAGGAACTGTGAGATTATCCATCTTAGATTTGAGAAGGGAAAAATCTTTTCACTGATGAGCGATTACAAGTGATGGAGAAGCATAGGACTTTTAGGTCTCTAGGTGCATAGGTACATAGGTACACAAATGAAGTCAAAAAGCTATAAAAAAACGTCGGCTCCTATCTTGAATGCATTGCAAAACAAAGGTGAATCCAGTTTAAGTTGTCCAGAACTTTGGTTAGACACTATTTGAAGCACTGAGTTACATTCTGGATATTAAATCTCAGGTAAGATATATTGGCCTTGGTGGAGGAACAGCCCAGATACACCAGAATGATATCAGGGACTTAAAGGGATTTAATAGCGAGGGCAGGTTGCACAAACCTAATTAGTACATCCTTGAACTTAAAAGGTTGAGGAATGATCTAGTTGAAGTCTTTAAAATGCCAAAGAGATTTGATTGGGTAGGCCCAGATAGACTATTTTCTCTGATGGGATAAATCCAGAACAGGGTGACAAAATCTTATATATTTTGAGTTCAGAGATGCAATTAGTCAGAAAAAAATGAAGTGGAAATCAAGAATTCTTGCCCCTAAAGGCTGTTTCTGGGTCAAGCAAAAATATTTAGACATGAAATTGATAGATTTTTCATTGGTAAGGATATCAAAGGATACAGAGAGAAGGTGGATAAATGGAGTTGAAATATGGATCAGCTATGATCTAAATAAACTCAAGAAGTTGAATGTTACTCCTGTTCCTATGATATGGAAACAAAATATTTTCACTTAATTCTAATTTTTAGAAATTTTTTCACAGGGTGTGCGCATTGCTGGCAAAACTAGGATTTATTAATTATTCCCAATTACCCTTGAATTGAATGGCTTGATGGCTCAGTTCAGAAGACAGTTATGAATCAGCACAATGCTGTACATCTGGAGTCACACAGAAGCCAGATCAGCGAAGAATGATCCTTCCCTTAAAGACATAAGAGCCTTCCCTAAAGGACACAAGTAAACCAGATGGTTTTATAACAATTGTTGATAACTGCCATGATCATGATGACTGAGTTTATCTTTTTATTTCAAATCTTTTAATTGAATTTAAATGCCAGCAGCTACTGTGTTGGAATTTGAACTCCTGTCTCCAGGGCGTTAACCTGGGTCCACCGAGATCATTCATACAGCAACATAGGTACAATGCCATCATCTCCCCTAAATGACGCTTTTCTTGCTATTTTTCCATTTACATCTTTTCTTGGTAAGTTTTTATTATAACAGGATTATAAGATTAGAAATTATTGTTGTTGAAAATATCAGTGAATGAACGCTTAATGTGCTCAAATCACATTCCTTCCTTGGGTTTAATATGGAACTCATCTATTCTGAACTTTCAATAAAGATAGGGCTTGGAACAGGAAGCTGGGAGATGGAATAACAAAAGCAAAAGTAATCCCTTCAATCTTAATAACATTGCTATTTCATGGTAGCATGGTGCTCTCATCTAATCACTCTCTTCCACACAATAGTGTCTCTCTTCACAAACCTGCTTTCTCAGAGTCTGGGCTGCCTCTGTCATGTTTTTCTTGCTGGTTACTGTCAGAATGATGGGAAGATGGGGAAGCAGAAGAGGCTGTCGATCCATTTTTCTCAGAGTCTTGCTGTGGCTGTGAGTTAATAAGAAGAACACAGTTACAGAAAGGCATGCCCTGATGGTTTATTGCTAGGATTGTGTCAAAGGAAGAGTCATTTTCTTACCAAAAGGGATAGTGGGAGCATCTGAAAAACTCACAAGGGGTAATTCATGAATATCTGCAGACTCCCTTCATTGAATAACATTCGAATGAATGAATGATTTGTTATCATGTTTATTTTACAGTGAAATACAATAAAATACAGCTTTCATTTGTCACCATAATCCAGTGCCATTTTGATAGTTTAAGAATAAGAGAAAATGGAAAGATGTAGCTTAAAGAGAAGTCCGTCTATGTCCGCCAGCTCAGAACCACTACCGCTTCGCCAGACCCAACTAATGTCAAAGTCGCCAATCTGAATAATAGATCATTATTATGGATTGAGAAATTGGACTCAGTAAAGAGCAGTTAAAGTGTTGTGATATTGTGGATAATGTCCCCTGTTTCTGTGCCAGAAACTCCAGTTTCAAGTCCTAACCCAGATCAAGGTGTGACTGTAACCTGGCTCAACAGGTTGAGTATGAAGCTGCCAATCCTTCCAAACTCTTGCTAAAGGCAAGTTGTGAGAGTGGGAGAAATTTCTGGCCAGCCATGTGACAGAAAGCAAGTTATAGATTCTACCATCATTATCATAGGTGCAGATTATAATGGGCATGCATCAAAGTTCATTTTGCCACTGCAAGCCAGAGTCACTGATCTGTAACAAGTCACCATATAAAAAACAATTATTATACATAGGCCCTGAAATAATTGAATTAATGTTAATCTACAAATGCTTAACATGTTATGAAATTATGTTCATTACTTTATGATGGTATTAATCCATTTATACTAAGCATATGCTGCAACCATATTCACCTGTATTCAAAGTTATAGTTGTGGAAGCTGTCTAACTTTATGGGTTGATAGGTGGCTGGGACCTGCTGCAAGGTAAGAAATAAATAGCAGTGTTTTTGAACAGCTGATGTTCATACAAGTTGGAGGATATGAGGTTGTTAAGAGGGCCCTGTTGAATCCCGAGACAAGAGGGTTCAAGTCCCACCTGCTCCAGAGGTGTGTCATAACATCAGGTTAGGTTGATTAAGAAAATAGGTTAAATTTTTTAAAATGAGATTGTTAAATGGATATTATTTGTGTTCAGATGGTAGGCATTAATTGGGAATGACAGGATCAAAAGTATAGGAGCAGCTAAACGAAGAGATTGTTTTATTGTGGTTGTATTGTTTGTCTCTGAAAATAAAAGCTTTGAAGTGAATTTAGACTAGGCTTCAGTATGCTAATCTTTACCTCCTGGCAGTCTGAGCTTAGACTCAAGTTGCAATAGTTGACTCTGGGAGAGAAGGTTTCAGCAGCAAAAGAAGGATTTGTGGAAGGAGACGGTATTGGAGTTAGAAGAGATCAGGCTTTGGAATTGGAAACAAAGACAGAAATTGGTCTAAAAGCTCAGCAGGTCTTGCAGCATCTGTGGAGAGGAATCAGAGTTAACGTTTCGGATTAAGTGGCCCTCAAAATAGGATAAAAGATATGAACACTCCAGGGTTGGGGATGGGGAGGAGACAATGGCCTCGTGGTATTATCGGTAGACTATTGAATTCAGAAACTCAGGTAAAGTTCTGGGGCAGATGGTGGAATTTGTATTCATTAAAAGAAAATACTCTCAACTATCTTCTGAAATGGCCTAACAAGCCAATCAGCTTAAAGGCAGCTAGGGACAGATAATAAATGCTGGCCAGCTAGCAATGCCCATGTCCCACAAATGAATAAAAAAGTTAAGCCTGATAAAGTGGTCAGACAGTAGAATGAACAGGGTCTGGAATTTATGGTGGGAGCCAAAAGACAGTGGCTTCAGTTTTTCCAGTGTTTAACTAAAGAATGGTTTTAGATGCAATAAAACCAGAGTTGTAATAATAGGTGACTTTAACTTCCCCAGTATTGACTGGGACTCCCTTACAGCAAGAGGCTTAGACAGGGAAGAATTCGTTAAGTGCATTCAAGAGGGTTTCTTGAAACAGTATGTGGATAGTCCAACTAGAGGAAGGGCCATACTGGACCTTGTATTGGCAAACGAGCCTGGCCAGGTGACTGACCTTTCAGTGGGAGAGCATTTTGGAAACAGTGATCACAACTTCTTAAGTATTAAGATAACTATGAATAAGGATGAGTTAGGACCTTGCCGGAAGGTACTAAATTGGGGGAGGGCAAATTATGTCAGTATTAGGCAGGAGCTAGGGAGTGTTAATTGGGAGGAGCTGTTATCAGGCAAGTCCACATTTGACATGTGGGAATTGTTTAAAGACCTGCTGATCAGAGTTCAGGACCAGCATGTTCCAGTAAGGAGGAAGGACAAAGATGGCAAGGTAAGGGACCCTTGTATAATGAAGGAAGTGATGAATTTATTCAAAAGCAAAAAAAGAAGCATATGTAAGATTTAGGAAGCTAAAATTGGAGAGGGGCCCGTGAGGAATATAAAGAAAGCAGGAAAGAACTCAAGCAGGAAATTAGGAGAGCAAGAAGAACCATGAAATGACCTTGGCAAGTAGGGTTTAAAGGAATCCTGAGGCATTCTATACATACATTAAAAACAAGAGGATAACTAGGGAGAAGATAGGACCACTCAAGGATAAAGGAGGGAACTTGTGCTTGGAAGCAGAGGATGTGGGTGAGATTCTAAATGAGTACTTTGTTTCGGTATTTCCCCAGGAAAAGGATATGGAGATTAGTCAGATTAGTGTGCAGCATGTTAAAATGCTACAGGATTTTGGGATCAAGAAAGAAATGGTGTTGGATCTGTTGAAGAGCTTTAAAGTAGAGAAGTCCCCAGGGCCTGAGTGTATCTATCTGAGGTTATAAAGAGAGGAGATTGTTGGGGCCTTGACCAAGATCTTTGTATCCTCCTAGCCACTGGAGAGGTCCCAGAGGACTGGCGTGTAGCTAATGTTGTTCCTCTGTTCAAGAAGGGAAACAGGGATAATCCAGGAATCTATAGACCAGCGAGTCTCACATTGGTGGTTGCAAAGCTATGAGAGAGAATTCTTAGGGATAGAATTTATGTGCATTTGGAAAAACATGGCCTATTTAGGGAGAGTCAGCATGGCTTCGTGCAGGAGAGGTCATGTCTTACTTACAAATTGAATTTTTTGAAGTGACAAAGGTGATCGATGAGGGTAGATCAGTGGATGTTGTCTACATGGATTTCAGTATGGTTTTTGACAAGGTCCCTCATGGTAGGCACATCCAGAAGATTAAGATGCATGTGATCCACCATGACTTCAGATGCGTGGTTCAGAACTGGCTTGCCCATAGAAAGCAGAGGGTAATGATGGAAGAGTGTTTTTCAGGCTGGAGGTCCATGGCTAGTAGTGTTCCACAGGGATCCAACAGTTGTTGTTTGTTTTATATATATAGGTATATATATATACACACATGACTTGGATGAAAATGTAGATGGGTGGGTTAGTAAGTTTGCAGACGATACAAAGATCGATGGAGTTGCGGATCATGTAGTAGGTTGTCAAAGGTGACAGCAGGATATAGATCAGTTACAGATATGGGCAGAGAAATGGCAGATGGAGTTTAATTCATGTAAGTGTGAGGTGCTGCACTTTGGGAGATCAAATGTTAAGGAAACTTATACCATTAATGGCAGGATCCTGAACAGCATTGTTGTACAGAGGGTTCTTGCGGTTCAAGCCCATAGCTCCCTGAAAGCGGCCACGCAAGTAGATAGGGGAATAAGGCAGCGTATGGCATGCTTGACTTTGTTGGTTGGGGAATTGAGTACAAGAGTCAGGATGTCATGTTGCAACTTTATAAGATTTTGGTTGGGCCACACTTCGGGTTTTGCGTTCAATTCTGGTCGCCACATTACAGGAAGGCTGGGGAGGCTTTGGAGAAGGTGCAAAACAGGTTTACCAGGATGCTGCCTGGATTAGAGGTCGTGGGCTATAAGGACGGGTTGAAAAACCAGGGTTGTTTTCTCTGGAGTGGCAGAGGGTGAGGGGAGGCTTGATAGAAGTCTACAAAATTATGAGATGCATAGATAGGGTTGACGGTCAGAATCTTGTTCCCAGAGTTGAAATGTCTAATACTAGGGGGCATGCATTTAAAGTTAGAGGGAAGAAAGTTCAAAGGAGATGCGAGGGGTAAGTTTTTTTTTAAACACAGAGAGTGATAGGAGTCTGGAATGTGCTGCTAGGGGTGGTGGTGTGATATGATAGAGGCGTTTAACCACTTTGAGATAAGCACATGAATATGCAAGGGATGGCGGGATATGGATCAAGGACAGGCAGAACGGGTTAGTTTAACTTGGTGCCATATTTGGCACAACAGCGCAGGCTGAAGGGCTCATTTCTGTGCTGTATCGGCTTATGTACTAGAAAAGATTATGGTCGATTCAAAGCTGGTTACTGGAAAAGGTAATAAATTGGTGCAGCTGGCTGTTACCAACATCCGTGGATGGCGTTGCAAAGGATCAGCACATTGAGGAACTGGAGAGTTCTAAGGGAAGTACCATGAAGGAATTTGAAGGCAGTGGAATCAGAAGCAGGAAAACAATCTATTTTAGGGGTTATTTGGCTCTTATCAGATAAGTAAGAGTGTAACCAGAGGCAAATATTGAGGGAGAATAGTGTGGATGACTGTATAAAAAGGTGATAAAGATTGAGATTGGATAATGAACCACAGGCACAGATGATATTATTGGTGACTTTAGTTAGGATTGTTTGGGTGCTGTGCTAAGGATGGAAACCAGATTGGAGAGATTCAGATAGAACTGCCGGCCCAGATGTGGGAGGGAGAAAGTAGACAGAAACACTTATATAGTTTTACAATGCAGCAAACCAAAGTCACAGTAGAGGGCAGCAAACAACACTTGTACACAGAGAATTGTGCAGTTGGAATATCCTGTACAAGTCTTTGGTGTCTTCACTTTACAGGACACTGATGATGAAGGCCTTTTAAATGCTCATTGTGTTGATATAACAACTTTCCTTAAGTCTATGATGGGGGAATCAGTAGAAGTGATAATGAATTAAATCAACAACGAAGAAGAGAACAAGTCTAGGAATGATACCGAAACACTACTTTTCATCTTCTAAGCTTCTCTTTCTAATCCTGGTGGCTTGCTGTGCAATGGGCTGAGGTTTCTAAAAAGCAGTTGTAAAACAAAAGTAATGTTTGCAAATTGCCTGTTAATACACCATAGCCTGGTCTAAATGATATATCTCAGGCTTGTACTAACTTATTACCACAGGACTCACATGCTTAGTCACTTAAGAAACAAAATACCGGCAATGTTAAATAATCAGCAGGTCTGGCAGCATCTGTGAAGACAGCAACAGTGTCACTGTTCAAGCTTAGAAACCTGCTTCAGAGGTTTCTGAACAATTTGAAAGGTCCTTGAAGTTAACTTTCTGTCTCTCTGTCTCCATTGATCCTGCCAGATCTGCTCAGTATTCCCAGCACATTCTCTTTTTATTTCAAATTTCTATTGTCTGCAATGTTTTTCTTTTGCTGTTTGGTCATCTGGTTCAGATTGAACTGAAATAGAGAGCACAGTGACCAGCATGGGTCCAAACTCACATCTCTATTATAATAGAATTGAACTTCTAAACACTCAGTCCTGCTGCTTTGGTGAATAATGAGTGAGGTTTCACTGCTAGCAGATCTGTGATGTGTCACGTCTATTTGGCAGTACCACTGGGAGCTTCCTATCTTTGATGAGCTAAATTTAGAGAGAAGCTGACAGGTTGTGTTTGTAATGAATAGGTGGGAAAGGTTGAATAAAATTAGCAGAAGACATGACCTGAATCCCAATCTACGTACAGAATACTCCATTGAGGCCACTGAGGCGTAATTTTGGAATGACATGGAAATGTGATGAAAGCATTGTACTATGGGCCTTGCTCCTGACAACAAACAACAGTAATTGAAAATGTTGGGAAGGAAGATGATGACAATCAAGGGTTAATAATCATGTGATAGCAAACTTGGGTTTTCCAAACTAGGAGAACAGGATAAATGAGGAAGATTTGAGGTCTTGAGGAATTAAGCAGTGTAAATAATGTGGATGCAAGGATGAATAAGTGGGTTTAAGATAATACATTTAGGAGAAAACAGACGATAAACTTCAAAAGATTGAATAATGTGTTTGTTTGGATGGAAGCTAGAAGTTGGTGGCAGACTCCCCAACTGCACAATTAGACAAGTTATCTTGTGCCTAGTCACCAGGAATATGGGAATTGATTTTTGTCTGAATGTCATGCTTGGTTTAACAATTGGAAAACCTGCCTAGAGAAAACAATGCAAGGGAATTGGTGCACAATTGAACATCATTGATAGCATGATATAACCGGCCTTTCTGTTATTGTCAGGCATAAGATGTGTCCTCAGCATACCCCTGAGGAAATATTCACTAATTACACAAAACATTCCAAAAATATCCAGTGAGTTCTCTATTGCAGGGTGACTATCTGATTTGACACCAGAAAATGCTTGAAAAATTCAACAGGTCTGACAGCATCTGTGGACAGTGAAAGTGAGTTACACTTTAAGCTGATGACCTTTTATCAGAAGTAGAACTAATTATATGCTCCTGTGACTGCTTGGTGAGTCATCTGATATCTCACTCACCATCGAGTATCAGAGCTAATAAACACATTATTTTGCTTTATCTGCAATTCCTGATTGGTTCATAGTTTTGAAATTTGATTCTACCTCAATTACAATACACACTCCTGATTTTGAGGCTGTTTCCTGCTTTCCCCTGCAATTTTTCACCAAATTGATGGAGCTGGTGAAATGCACTGATGTTAAAGAATGTTATTAGTTTCCCCATTTACACCACTCTTCCAGCGGTTTGCTCGAGTTACACCTCTTGACTCACCCCTCAAGAACTAAACTGGCCATGTAGCTGCTTTTTTTTTAGATAGATAAGCACACAAGTTAGTCTTGGATGTCTCTAGTTTCACTGTGCACCAACGCACAGTGTCCTTTACCCAAGAGAGTTTGATGTGAACGTGGAGCATGGATAAAGTAGAATAATGTTGCATTCTCTCGCATCTCGCTGAGGAGAACAGGAACTCACTAAACATTAAAAAGTGCATACTGCCTGAGGAAGGGTTCCTGTTCTGAGGAAAGGTCACCGGACCCGAAACGTTAACTCTGTTTTTTACCTTCATAGATGCTGCCAGACCCGCTGAACTTTTCCAGCAACTTCGTTTTTGTTCCTGATTTACAACATCCGCAGTTCTTTCGGTTTTTTAAATTAAAAAGTGCATCTCTGATGTAAATTAGGAATGAAATGACTGACCAAGGATACAGAAGCATTGTGTAATTGGTTCTAAATGGTGGAGTAGGTATTGGGAAAACCATAAATGTTCTGGTCCAATCACATGGACTTTCCAAGTTATGCAATTTAGATATTGGGAATAGAACCAGTCTCCTTTTAAACGTTACACTAATGAAGCTGCAATTTATGTTAAACAGTGAAATTGTTACTGTTTGCCTTCATACTCTAACAGTAATTTGTTTTCATGTTTGAATGCAAGTAGGAAGAGGTGACCAAGGAAAACAATTTCTAAATAGCACTAATTACCACATGATGCCTCTGTTAGTCACAGTGACAGCTTTCAGCTGCCAAAGACATAAGAGGGCAGCACAAAAGGAGTTGATAGTCTCAAATTCTCCACATTGAAATGAGTTACAACAATAAAAATTTACACCATACTGATTATAATTTGTGAACTCAGTGACTGTGAGCTGACCTCTTTGAGGGCAGTTGTGGGGATGTGTGTCTTAAGTGTCAACAAACGTGCTCTCCCCACTGCTGGGCGTATTGTGCACCAATCTGATTATTGAGAGCTGACCAGTAAGTTTCAACCAAATTTTCAGCCTATCACACGCGTCGAATGTGGCATCCCATCATAGCCAATCTGAGGCCAGAAGCTCCCGGATCTCAAAGACATGGCCTACTCCTCAGGGGATCCAACAGTGAGACGCTCAGTGTTTTTCTTTTGCTCCTTGCTTGGTGGAGATGTGGTGACCTGTGGGATTGAAGCAAGGCTTTCAGAACACCCCCTCTTGACCCTACTGGGCATCTGATCACACCTGGTTTGAGCAAATGGAGGGTATCTGCCTCATCCAGCAAACAGGTTGCCCTGGTTAGCCCCATCAGGAAAACAGGCACTTTCTTTGGCTGCCAGGACGGTGGGAAATCACAGCAGTGATAACTTGAGGCACTTAAGCAGCCATTCATCGACTATTTAATATTCTTAATTGCTGACAACTTTACAAAGTCCCCAGTGGCCCTTCTCACCCAACATTTAATAGGTGAGGTAGCAAAAGGGAGCAACTATCTCTCCAAGGTGAACTTGCCTAATTATTTACTAAACAAAAATAATGAATGAACTGCGGATGCTAGAAATCAGAAATATAAGGGTCACTGGATCTGAAACATTAATTCTGTTTTCTCTCCGCAGATTCTGGCAGACCTGCTCAGTTTCTTCAGCACTTTCTGTTTTTGCTGAATTATTTCGCGTTCTCCTCACCTCCAGAAAATTGCACGCATTTTATTTTCCTGCTTGATTTTCTTTAGTCCTGAATGAATGGGACCATGAAAATCCTGCCCAACGACTCTATGAACTGAACCAATCGGAATTAATGTGGAAAGGTTTATTCAGTCTGTGAATATGCATAACTGAATGATAAATTGAAGGTTCCAATTTCTTGCTTTATTTTCTGCAAAGTATGGGAAATTTTGAATTGCACATTCAAAGTTTCCGGAGGATGAAATATTTGTGACAGAAACTCCTTCACAAATCCAGCTCACAAAAGCTGGAGCCCAAATCAGCTAGACTGAGGATTAAGGTCATATTAATATATACTGAGAAATTCTACAGGGTAAATGCCTCCTCTAAGCATTAGAGAATTAGATGTTCATAGAGTTTCAGATGTTGAGAAATTGAATGTCTGATATTTAAACAACTGTTTGGTGCTTCACATACCTGAATACCTTTAAAATCAGCCACAATGTTTACAAGACAATTAATTTATTTTATCCTGAAAAGTATCCATTGGAACAATGGATCTAACCCTCCAGTTGTAATGGGCAGTACATTGCTGACCATCTGGCACCATTAAATTTCCTACCTATTCTGACTTGGCATTCTCTCACCTGTAGTAATAGCTCCCGGAGCCTCTTCAGTTGTGATTCAAGCTGTTTGTTATGGTCTTCCAAGATCTGCATCCTGGTCTCCAGCCGGGTCTTGTGCTGTCGGAGTAACCGGGCCTCAGCAAGAAGCTCTGTGTCTCTGGGGCTGAGAGGTGAGCTCGGGGATTCCTCTTTCACAGAGGATGATATTGCTGCCTCTTCATGTTGCCATTTCAATCGTCTGTACTCTTCCTGCAAGATCCTTGGAGAAATTATTTTTAAAAATGTAACAATAATAAACTTTGCATTCAATGTTTCTTTGAATCCTTCAGTTCCATTGTCCCACAGGCTGCTAGATGTGGTCTGATTCCAGTAGTACTTGGCCCTTTGACCAATGCAGTATCTTCTCTCAGACAGATAACACCACTGACAAGGATTTATGTTTTTCTAATTGTTAGAGGGTGAAAAATTTTGGTTGCCAAGGTAAGAGGGCTGCATACCAAGGATGAAATTAATTTCTCTGTGTTTTCTAAGAATCTTAATATTGAGGACACGAGTTCAGATAAAGTGGCCTTAAGCTGTTCTATCATGTTCTGCTGATTCAGCTATGCTGTGGATATTTCATCTTATGGCCTGCAAATAAGACTGAATTTTAGCAATGTGGGTTAGATCATAGTCAATTTTGTGTTTTAAGTCTGCACCCATAAAGCTCATTTCCATTAGGACCTTTGTAGTGGAAAATAAAAAGAAGACTTTAATCATTTTGGGTCAAACTGAGACCAGGTCCCAAAAATGACCAGACAGTGTCTAATCTACTGTACCATTTGTTGTACAATGTAATGGTTCTGGAAGGGTTAATATTTCAGATTGCAGTAAACTCCAACCAATCTGATGATGTCGTAAGTCTTGGGTGGAGCAAGGCAGACAATCTTAGGATCTCAAAGGGGACAGACTTGTTATCTTGGGTCCACCAACAGTCTAAGTAACGATATTTATCTTACCAATGTAACTTGTACCTGATGCTACCATAGAATAAATTGTTTAAGACAAGAGGTTCTTCTCATTAAAACTCACTAGTGATTTTCCTCGACTACTGTAAACGAAGTAGGCCCTTTGACACAGTTAATGGAAGAGGATGGTGACCCAACCACAAAGTGACCATATCTAGCATCACAGCACATACAACATATTTCCAGTCATTCTGTGGGACTCACTTTAATAGCACAGCTGGAAATTTAGACTTGACAGCATGATGACTTTACTGGACTATTATGTTGTGGTTATTGGAGTATCAGTGGTCCCTTGGCCCATCCACCATTACCAATAATATGACGGGGATTTGTCATACCTATTCTCATGCTCAAGATGTCCAATAATGGCCTCCAGCTCAGTCTTCTCTTCAGTGTCCAGTGTACTCAAGAGCTGGTTTGGATTCTGGGTTGGATTTTGAAGAGAATCTCGATCTGTCCCTGGGCTGAAATATTGAACCACCAACTGCTCATCATCTCTGCATGTATATAAAGAGCACGCTGTGAATTCCTCAATCACACAACATTGCTGTCTTTAACTCTGTACAGATCTAACTAATGGGAACTAACTGTATTGTGCTTATTTTCATTTAAAATAATCTGAAACTAATACTCTGGTCAATTTGTTCAGGATTAATTTGGATGCATCTTAATTCACGAGTGTATGGGCTAGTGTCTGGTACCTTGCAACAGTATGCAGCTGGAAACAGCTAACAAGGACTAAAGTTCAGGGAGGTGATGGTACAGTGGAATTAATGCTGGAGTGTTAATCCAGAAATCCTGGTAATATTCCGGGGATGCCAGATGGTAGAATTTGAATTCAATTTAAAAAAAACTGGAATTATGTGTCTAATGATGACCGTGAATCTCTGGTCAATTGTCAGAAAAATCCATCCAGTTCACTAATGTCCTTTAGGGAAGGAAATCTGTTGGCCAGACCAGATAAGGACAGCATGTGACTCCAGTCCCACAGCAATGTTGTTGACTTTTGACTGCCCTCTGGGCATTTAGGGATGGGCAACAAATGCAGGCCTAGCTAGTAATGCCCACGTTCTGTGGATGATTAAAACAAAGGGCTGATGTTTTCTCAACATGACCCTATGTTTGAGTGCAACACAAAAGTACTTGGAGAAATTGGATTAGAATATCAAAAACAAAGCCTAATGCTGTTTGACACTAAGGGTATCTGCAGTGAACTTTGCTTGGTGACAGAATTACAGAAAAATGGTGCTCTGTGAAAGAGTTATAAATTAACAATGCTGCATGTATTTTCTGTCCGTGTCCTGGACTGATACTGATTGTTGAAGAATAGTTGCAATAACTGATGTGTTCTTGATATAACGGCAGAGAACAGTCTTAAGCACTTTCGAGTCCTTGTTGCCCTACTCTGAAAATGAGTTTGGTGTGTGACTGAGAACCCAAATATACTTTACTGATTTAAAAAGCTGTAGACTGCATACAAGCTTTTTTTTGGCAAATTCATTGTTAGGTAATTGTTGGCTGTAACCAGTCCAGGAGATAATTACATCTGCAGCAGCTCAATGCCATTTAGTCCAGTTGGTATTTTATTCATCCACATAGCTTTCATTACCCAGTTATAGCCACAGAACTAATCTGTCAACCTGCTATTGCAGCACTATTGTTGTAAATTAATGTACATCCACAAATGAACTTATCCATAAGCTATACATTAATATAGTTCTTTACTTAATTAGAGTACTTATTCTCCAGCAGCTTTTTCTTCAACATTTTGCAACTTGCATAGCTCTTTCCTTAAGATTAGGGTACATGATGAGATGTAAAAAGTGAGTGGCAAGCCAATATGTCTTTGAAGTCCAATTCGTTAAAGGGGTGTGTAGGTGTCAGTGAGAAAGTATCCTGTATCTCTTGTCTGACGTACAGTCATGTACACTATGAGCAGGATTCACTGATTGTTATCCAGAAAAAGAATTCTGATCAATTTGTTTTCAATGCATTATTTGGTATTGCTGAGGTCAAGAGTGTTTACCCCATTACTACCCCATTGAGATCAGTTTACTAAGATGAAATTAGGTTCCTTTCTGGTTTTCTATGATTTATTGTGCATTTATCAACTGGAGTAATGCATCTCCAGAGTTTAACTTTTACCCCTCCCTGCGTTCTTCTCTACTTGAATCACAACCGACAACTTTAATCATAATCTTAATCTTCACACTCGTCAATCTTTGTTGGTTTTTTAATCTATGCAAGTTGATGTAGTCTTTAGGCCAACAAACGTTATCTGTAAATCTGAGAATTTCACTGGGAATAATTTGCTACATGTGTCCAGACCGATACTTATCCTACGCTGCCAGTGAAGAAGATGTTATTATCATATTGTTGTTGTGGGCCTTTGCTGCATGCACGTTTCTTACTGTGTTTCAAGCATTAAACAATGACTACATTTCAAAAGCAACTTCAATAACTGCGAAATGCTTTAGGACACCCTGAAGATTCGAAAGGTGCTATGTAAATACAAATTTTTCTTTGAAAGTGTTTCTTAATAGTGTGATGATGCTGTCACTCTAAGATGTTATTTTGTCCTTTTTTTGAAGAGTGCTTGTAAGGTAGAGGTACCGAGCTGTCTCTAAGAAAGTAAACAATTTGTGAGGCCTTGGGTTTTTTTTAAGATTGGAACAATGAAGTAGCCTGGTTGTAGCCAGCTCTCAGACCAGGCTTTCTAGCTTTTATTTTAGTTTTAAGGTTTAGTTTTAAACAGAATCACTTTGGGGTGTCAAAAGATATGGAAACTTCAGTGAATGTCTCCTCGCTGCTACTTTTTCTGAATTTTCTCTTGATGCTTTCCCCTCCTGGATTGAAGAAATTCATGTGAGAATCCGTGTCTGAATTTGCCTTTTAGCCAAGGGGTGTGTTTATGGGATGTTACTATATGGGAACAGTTAATTAGCAATAGGTACTGTATCTATTATTCAGTTAAGTTTTCCAATAATTAAGTTATTCTAAATTCCTCTTTTTTTGTGTATTTTAATAGTAGTGTTTAAATAAATTGTGTTTTGCTTAACGTTGAGTAGTTTGACCAGTTGCATTGCATCTGGAACGTAGCACTTTACATCTACCGTTAAAATAAGAAAAAGTTAGGGTCTAGGCTACCTTCTTAAAATATATTGAGGGGGTCTGGTCTTGTCCATAACAATAGTGGTTCTTTTCTTACTTTTAATGATAGTAAGGTAAAATATAATCATTGTGTAATAGACATTATATTACAAATACTAGCATTGTTTTTTTCTCACATATCTCATTTTTTACATCTTTCACTGAAGGTGTGTGAGGGTAATAGTCTGCTTGTAAATAATTTATCTCAAAAACTAACAGATGCATTTCAATGAAACTTACTATACAGATTGTGTATGTTTTGTTGGTCCATACCCTTTCATGGCAGAGTTGCGTGTCTGGATCTTTGAATTCTTTTAAAGGATCCATTAACATTGGGAGATATAATGGACTGACTCTTTTATTTTTAAGAATATTGAGGATTGCTTTATTGACAATGTTGTTGATTGTTATAGAATGTGTGTATTTTCTCAGCTGTAGTGGTGGTGTGTGTCCTCGATGTCAAAATGTGGGTAGGGTTTTCAGAGCAGGTTTGGATTTACCTGAAGCTTTCTCGGTGAGATAAAAGCTCACAAAATTTTTTTTTCTGTTTTGTGTTTCCAGAGCATAAAATAAGCAAGGGAAAAGCCTTAAGAAAGAGCTGGGTTATTGCAATAACATTGAGCTAACATAACATGATGATATATGTTTTACTGAGTGCCTTCTCCACTTGTTTCATTCACTTAGTTTGCAACAAAAAGAAGTCATTTTAAAATACTTACACACTTTCATCAGGTGAGAGGCTGCCACTGAAGAAAGAACAATTCTTACTTTCCATTTCTGCAAGCCTGAGAAAGAGGTAACAATGTATCATTTAGTCAATGAATGGTTTTACATTAAAAAATGTCATTAGGTATCAGGGAATGGAAATCTCTTCTCCCTGACTCAGAACTATTCTGAACCAACTGATTCAAGAAAGACTTGCTTAGTATCATTTAAATGCCTTGTAAAGTTTATGAATGGACACAGTTTAGAATTTGGACAGGAATTTATATGTTCATTTCATAGATTTTTAAATAAATCATTCAGTGTGGTTGACTGGATTAAGGAGGAGTTAGTGATGGTGAGGGATAACACCCAGTAGGAAAGCTGGAATAGTTGTGATGGGACCTCCAGCAGGAGACGGTGATGATGAGGGAGGACACCCAGCAGGGCAGCTTCGAGGGTGTGAGCTGATGATGTCTCTTTCGTCACCTTGGTCTCTGCTTCACAAAAGTCAGACATTCCCTATCATGGCTACAGTGAGCTCTCCCTGTCTGTCCTGCATCACATTTCTCATGTACTGGGGTTTCCAGGACTTTGTGATCCAACCAAAACACCTGTGGAAGTAAGGAATCTGAGAGTATTTGTAGTGTTGGAGTCAAATGTGTTAAGATGCAGGCATTCTTGGAAAGCACATTTGGTGACTGTTATAAGCATCACATTACAATGTTAGCAGATGGGGGTTAGGAGTCTTTGACCTTGCTCTATGCTCGCAAGATGTATGGGACTCTGGAACTGTTCAAGAGGCAGGGACTTGTCCTTGTCTTTTACCAGCCAACACCATCACTGTTCTCCAAGGCTCATGCAAGCAGTCTCCAACTGGTCAACATCAGACCTTGCTAGAATGTCACGTGTCACACAGGGCAGAGCTCCCACTTGATGTAACCCCATGAATTGAATTTGTCACTTTGGGCGAAAGTGGTAGGGTGACCAGGAGATCGCCAATTTTACTGACAAAGGTGATACATCCAACTAAGAAGGTCCACAGATATTCAGTCAGCTACTTTTAAATGTCTGCCAAGCTGAGGCAATAGAAACCACTGAACTGGAACAGCTTTGATTCAAGATCCAGTACAGGTCAGGCAAAAATAATTGTGGTCAGGCGACCCATGACCTCCAGGATTGTTGCAGAATTACTGACATTTTTTAATGAGCATGGATAAAAACTTGAAATGTGGGAACCAGGTTTAAATGTAGCTGGACTCTGCAATTTGCAAGCGGCTAAGCTGGAACAGACAGTATTCGTGCAGCCAGGCCTTGGTCAATCAACTTCTCATCGAAACCAGATAGGCCTGGAACTGCCTGGCTACGTGCTAATGGACACGTTGTTTCTACTTCCAATGAACATGCTTTCTTAGAAGAATGTTACACAGATATGGTGGAACTCAGCACGGTAGGAGACCAGAGACATTGAGTGACAAGGATAGCACTTGATTGTTAAAGGTTCAAAACCATGTTCTGAGACCTCCAAATATAGAAAGTAGTTGCTTCATTGGATCTTGCTGCCCTCGCCCGATGGTAGTATTAGATACAAATCACAAAATCTTCAAGAAGGGCGCAAAGAAAGGGATAAAAGGGCAGCCTGGAAAACCCAGTAGTCTGCTTTTTGCACCTTCTTCAAAGGCATCTCCAAATACACCACCCTGGTGAACTGATCTGAAGACCCATAACAAGAACGTTCTACCTTGTGTTGAGCACCATCAGACCCAAAATACCATCTTGATGTGACAGCCCGAAGACCAGAACCAGCCTTAGAGGAGAGGGGAAGCCCAAATCAACTACTGCAGATCCTTAAACATCAGTCAACTCTCAAATTCCCAGAAACAGCCTGCCCCAGCCTTATTGAACAGGTATTACCTGGCTTTTCAGACAAACAATTCAAATACATTGGTAGGGACCTGTGGATAGAGTGTAGCAAATCTTCGGAAGCATGTGTCAGAAATAGATAGCTGGTGTAGAATTGAGAATGTTTACTTAGAGATTTAAGACTGTTAACTGAAGAGTCCTGTGAACAGATTGATAGAGTTTGATAGAGTTTAATTAAAGTACAATAGTAGAATTTGATAAACATTTTTCTGAAATAAAGTTTTTATTCAAGTTGGGTTGGAATTTCCTCTGACTCTCATCCCTTTGTCTATCTCACTGTGAGACTCACCTGAGTTAAAGACAGTTACTGCAAACTGGTCAAGGTTAGTCAGGGTACATTTACCCACCTTTCACTTTACAACATAATCCAAATGATGAAGCACTTAGTCAGATGTCACCACGGGAGGGATGCCCCACCTGCCCAGCTGGAGAGGCCTGTGGCTGATGCCATGCCCCAAGTCAAAGGCAATATTCCAACCCCGACTCCTAGGGCATTCAGACTAAGATTCAGCAATGTGTCACTGATGCCCTTATGAGTGAGATCCAAAACAGGTCCAGACATGGACAGCCAATAATGATTTCACATTTGCCATTTACCTTGAAAGAGAATGTCAGACAGCTTTAGCTGATTGGTGTGGATATCAGTATATTGCTATCTAGTGAATCGCTTAACATCCAGCAACCCAGCACCAGCCTGTTCCAACTCAAAGACCTCCCATATAACCAGAATATTAGTGCATGATTGGCTTGTCCATTTTGATGTTCAATGTCAAATTCACGATGACCAGAAGCACAACTTCGAGGGCAAGTTCTTACAGGAGATTTGTAAGGTCGATGGCATTGCCAAGAGCTGCACCAGCCCTCATCATCCAGAGGGTGAGCAGTGCAAATGATTCAACTATACATTGCATAGCTGTTTGTGCAACTTGTGGCCTAAGGGTGAACAGAAGTGGCCTGAGTACCTGCCAGAGCTCGTTTACATTTACAACAATGTACTATATTCACCCTCCATTGGCTATTTTCCAAACTCTCTCTTCTTTGGATGAGACCAAGTCCATCTTGTGGACCACCTCCTTGGGTTCACCACACCTGCCAACGAATATGGAGGCAAGCAACACATGAAGCGAAGCCAGGTCCACTAGATGGTGTCCGAAAGAACCAAAAGACAGATGCTGAGATCAAAAACATTGAACACAACAAGCCTGACAGGACTCACCTTGCAACTGGTGCAAGGATATTCATCTGAAATCAGAATATCAGGGGCAATTAGGATACAAGATATCCAGGAAATTTACGGCCATGTAATTATTAAGCAGCTGGACGCAGGTCTCAAGAAAGAGAACGGAAACTGGACACATTTCACTTTTATAAATTGCTGATCTAATTGCTACTCTAAGTGATCACACAAGATTAAATTTTGGCCTAAAATTGTGAATTGCCAAAAAGGCATGTCAATGATACCAGCTAATTCTGGGGATGGCTGGTCTGATGTAAGATGAAAGATTGACTAGGTTAGGATTGTTTTCGCTGGAGTTCACACAAATGAGGGGGGGGGATCTCAGAGAGACCTATAAAATTCTAACAGGACTAGACAGGGTAGATGCAGGGAAGATGTTGCCGAAGGTGGGTGTGTCCAGAACCAGGGGTCACAGTCTGAGGATTCAGATGGGTAGACTATTTAGGACACAGATGAGGAGACATTTCTTCACCCAAACAGTGGTGAGCCTGTGGAATTCATTACAACACGAAGTAGTTGATGCCAAAACATTGAATGTATTCAAGAAGCAGCTAGACACAGCACTCAGGGTGAATGGGATCAAAGGTTATGGGGAGAAAGCAGGATTAGGCTATTGAGTTGGACGATCAGCCATGATCGTGAAGAATGGCGGAACAGGCTCACAGGGCCGAATGGTCTTGCCCTGCTCGTATCTTATATGTTTCTATATAATTTATGTCAATGGAAGAGTAAGATTTAATCACATTTATCAAATATTGAATTCCCGTGCCTTTACTGAAGAATTCCGACACAGTTTCCATCAATTTACCTGCTAGCATAGTGTTCAATCCTGGAGTGTGTATCTGCATGTGGTAACATTGGGGAAGAGGCAGGTCTGAAACATAACATAGACATTGAGGAAAGATTTTGAATCTGTTATTGCTACCTTTTCAGGTTTTTTCTCTCTCTCTCTCTCTCTCACACACACTTACACACACCTATAAATCTATGGGGTGAATCTGTATTTGCAGATTTGGAATTACAAATACATTCTGTTTTGATCAAAAAGAGCACAATTTGTTGACAGTCAATGAGGCATTTTATAAATTTCTACTTTGGAAATAAAATCAGTCTGACTCCAAGTTTATACACAGCCAGATTCTAAACAAGGCCTCACACCTAAAATGCATTGTCTGACCTGAGATGTTACCTCTGGTTTACTGAGAAAACCTTTAGTTATCTTGGGATAGTGACTTGAAAGAAATTCTGGAATTTGCATATTAATCCTTTCTAACTGATTAAAAATTTAACAGCCATCTTAGGTTTGTTTAATACATTTGTATCAGTTCTATGACCCTTTGATCTTTTAGTTATAAATTCTGTGTCTGATGCCACCTCTCTCACTGACACCTGAAGAAGGAGAAAGACTCCGAAAGCTTGTGTCTTCACATAAACTTGTTGGAGTATAACCTGGTGTTGTGTGATTTTTGACCTTTTTAGGTTCATTAGCATTAGCTGCTCTAAGAGGATCCAGTGTCTCTGTATCAAAGCATATAGACATTACCCAATATCTACTTATGAATGTGGTAATGTAACATGGGGATATACAAAGCAACCTCCCCTGAAATACAAACTGAACATTGTGACTTTTATAGAGGCACACCCATGTGCTTCTCAATTCTATTAGAGTTAACATTAAAAGAGGTGAAGCTTTATACAAATCGTTAAGCTTTTTTCTTTCATATGGGAGTGTAAACCGATGTTGTCATACACAGAAAAACTTAGACACATGCACAAAAGTACAGTAAGCCAAGCATTATTTATTCTTAATCCTTTTGAATTATGTAACTGTTCTTTTCTTTCTTCTGTGTTAATGAAGTAAAATGTCCTATGTGTGAACTTTGTCTTTGTGTCATGGGGGTCAAATGGAGTATTAAAAGGACAAATGATGCCCTGACTGAAGAACTGCATTATGGGTTTGAGAACAGGAAGGCAGGAAATTTGGTCAAGACACAGATCTGCTAAAATCAGCAAGAATCAGCAAATTGATTTTGTAAGCTGTGCTGGAGCTGTGAGAGGAAAGTGGCTTCTTTGTGTGTGACCATGAAAATGTTTCCTTCACTCCAATACTGGAGATTGCTAAAACACTGTAGACATAAGCCAGTGTTTGTTCAAGCGTAGCCTTGAGATTAGGACCCACGGAGAGAGTACAGTTTCAAGCAGAATGTAATGTAATTAAACATCAATTAAATTGGCAGCAAACTGCTATCACCTCATATGACGCATGACTATGACAAAAAGAGAGTTATAAAGGAAGCTGTTGCAAAGGGTTTTGTTGCTGCAGTGTGTAGAATGGTTGGTCAGTCATTCCAAGGATCTGCTTGGAGTTCTGTTGACAAATTGGCCACCTGAAGCTGACCCTAGCTCTAAGCAACCAGAGTCACAGTGAGTACGTACTATTGCTTAGTCATGTATTAAAAGTGTATCAACATTTAGTGAGTATTCAAGTCGTTCTCTGCCATTAATAACTGGGTCAGAACCTTTACAACGAATAAGTGTATTTTACACTTGAACATGCAGAGCTTTAATAATGATCAGATTAATTTTGTCCAATAGATATTGTGACAATAATATGCCTTTAAAAGGTATATTTCGTCCTGACATTTTTATGAAGAGAGGTTGACGCAGAAGTGCCAAGTGGTCTGTTCCCAGCCAATACAATAAGCAGCTTGTGAGGCCTTGGGGTTTTTTAAAAAGTTGGAACAATAGAACCAACATAAAGGGGTCGGATCAAGCTCCCTCAGAACCAGGATTTTAGTTTAGCTTTCAGTAGCTGTTGGGGTTTGGAAGCTGCTACACATCTCTCCCTACTACAACAAAATGCTTGAATTTTCTCTCTCTCTCTCTCCCTCACACACACATATACACACAGATTTTTCTCTTGATGTTCTTTACTCCTGGACTGGAGAATTACATGTGAGACAATCTATTTTACTGAATTTGCCTTTGCCAAGGGTGAGTTTATGGGATGTTACTACATTGGAACAGTTGCTGTTTAGTAGTTAAATAATGTACTATTCTGTTAAATTTTCCAAGAGTTAATTTGTTCCAATTCTTCTTTTTTTTTGTTTATATTTTAAATACAGTGTAAAAATAAAGTGGGTTTTGCTTCAAGCCTGGTAGTTTGACCAATTGAATTGCATCTGGAAAACAATACCTTACACTTGCCTTCAAAAATAAGAAAAAGTTGGGGTCTAGGCTATCTTGATATATTTTGAGAGGATTTGGACTCATCCACAACAATAGCTTTACTTAAGAAAAATAACAAATGATTTGTGGATGCTGGAAATCAGAAACTAAAACAGAAATTGCTGGAAAAACTGCAAGTCTGGCAGAATCTATGGAGAGAAACCCAGTTCTGAAGAAGGGTCACTGGACCCGAAACGGTAAATCTGCTTTCTCCTCACAGATGCTGGCAGACCTGCTGAGTTTCTCCAGCTATTTCTGTTTTTTGCTCCTGATATCTTTACCTGTTGAATAAAAATAAAGAGTCAAACACTTTGCCACATTACTGGGATATCTTAGACGACAAACAGAAAATTTTCTATTGTTTCCAAGGTGATATGCAAAGTCCTCACCCAATGGCAATGCACTCTAATAGTAACAGTTGTTAGGATCCAGCTGTAGTAACTCAACATACGTGATATGTATTGTAGGTAAAATAAAATGTTCTTTACCTTCTTTGACTGATTCAGTGGGTAGGTAAACTGTTTAGCAATCTGTATAGATGAAGATGGAGTCAGATTTGGGGCTGAATTAGCTGATTTCAGCCAAGTAGGCCAGTTAGGATGTGATTTCACCATCCCATGGCTAGGGAGGGTAAGCTATAGGCCTATGTAGGAAGAATAGACAGCTGCTGGACTATGGAATTCCTGATAACAATACATTAACATTTTCAGGGAGGTGAGAAAGTAAGAGCTATATGTAATGTTGCAAATAAAAGTATTCACCAAAAGAAGTTAAACATTCAAAGAGCTTTAATTCAAGTTGGAGACAAGAAATGATAGTGAGAAAACTTTGTTCTGATGGTATTGCCTTACGTGTCAATGCTGTCACCCTCCATCACTGACTGGACAGGTAGGTATCCTCTTTGTGGATGTTTACTAAAATACTGTTTGGTTCGGAACTTGTTTTTCAATGTCTTGGCAAAGTCCCGCACATTTTCTCCTGATGTAGTCTGGGGAGGAGCAAGCAAAATTACTTACCAGTTGATACAGTTAAGTAAAATGCTTTTTTACCAATAGAATTTGGGTTTGAATCAAAGTGAATGTCTCTTCACACTGCTAACTGTAACAATCCAGACCAGAATTAATTTGAATCAGTCTCAGTACAGTTCTCCTGCTATATTATGTAGTAGAAAGTATGTATAAAGCTTCACCTCATTTAACGTACTGAGCTGTTTTCTCATTCATTCATTCATTCAGATGATGTGGGCATTGCAGGCCAGGCCTGCATTTGTTGCCCAGTGGGGTAGTTAGAAGCCAACCATATTGCTATAGGTATGGAATCATATGTAGGCCAGACTCAGGTAAGTTTGGCAGATTTCCTTCCTTAAAGGACATGAATGTGCCAGAAGGGTTTTTATGACAATTGACAGGTTAGCTTTTATTCCATATTTATATTGAGTTCAGATTCACCATCTGCCATGGTGGGATTTGAATCCATGTCTCCAGAATATTGGACTGATTTTCTGGATAAATAGTCCAGTGACATTACCACGAGGCCAGCACCTCCCTATGCAGCTGGTCTAGAACATAGAGAAATTATCCTTTGTGTGACATACTTTGGGATGATTGTAGAATATAACTTTTCATGTGTGAGTCTTAGGTTTCAACTATGGTTTCAGGAAGATGATCTAAAGAGTTTTGGCAATGGGATGCAAAGAAAAGGAGGAAAAAAAGTAACGGAGCAAATCTTCCTGAACTTGCTGTCATGCACCTTCTTTCAGTCAGTACAACAGTTTTAGTAGACTAGGTTGCCTGGCTGCCTTTTGGCCTAAAATACTTTGCAGTGAAGAGAGATCCAGAAAAAAAAAGGGTGAGACAATATACCTAAAATAATGACCTTAGTAGGGAGCAACATAAATTATTGGTTATAGCATAAGGTTGTGGTTGTAATTTTAGGCCCAGAGTTTTGGCTTGGCATGGTGGCATAGTAGTTAGCACTGCTGCCTCAGTGTCAGGGACCTAGGTTCATTTCTAGCCTTGGGCGACTGTCTGTGAGGAGTCTGCACATTCTCCCCATGTCCGCGTGAATTTCTGTCGGGTGTGCTGTGGTTTCATCCCATAGTCCAAACATGTGCAGGTTAGATGGATTGGCCATGCTCAATTACCCACAGTGCCGAGGGATGTGTAGGTTAGGTGTGTTAGCCATGGGAAATGCAGGGTATGGGGATTGGGTAGGATGCTCTTTAAAGGGTTGGTGTTGACTTGATGGGCCTAATGGTCTCTATCTCCACTGTAGTGATTCTATGGGTACTCCATTATCAAATGGGTTGTTACTACTGTTTTTAGTCAGAAGTCACTTGAATGTGTCAGCTCTAACAGAGAAAATTTCTTCTTTGGAAATAGGATCTAGCATCATATTACTAAGATCTCATCAAGCACAAAGTTATATTGGTCAGTATTTTAATAGCTATGGCTATAACAGTTGAACATGCAGTGTAGCATGTTGGAATAATGCCCTTTTTGGGTCCGTATGTAGTGATACACATTACTTACAGGGGCACAGTATTCCATGATGGGGTAATGTAGTTTGTGACCTTTGTTTGCCCTTCCTGTCAAGAAACATGTTTGGCAGATGTCAACATTAAACTGCTTCAAACTGCGGTATCTGAAGCAGAAAAAGACAGATTTTAGAGATAGTGAGGAAAAGAAATTGAACATGAAACAAGGATCAAATAAAAAACAATTCTGCAACAGGAACAACTAAAAGAATTATACACAGGAATATTTTATCAACAATAATGTCAACTGGCACTAATAGACATATTTGATTGCTAAACACTGTCAACAAGCACCAATACATGGGCAGAATCACCAGTCCTTTGCCAGTCTTAGCAGTGCAATGAATACAGGGCCAATGTATATGCTAAAGTGCAAGAGCTCAGTGTCAAAGCAGGCAGCAAGTACAGGTTAAAACAGCAGATCAGTGCAAATGCAGTGACTGTCTTGGCATGTTAACTGTTTCCTTTTCTTTCCCTGGATTTGAGAAGGTATAGGTACATTCACTAGACGGAATGAAAATTTAGAAGTGCAAGTGGATATAGAGGATGATTAGATACAATGGTGGTGTCTCTATTAAGAAATGTTGACTGGATTCATTTCCAACATTTACCGGTATATATTTAACAAGAAATTAAAGCCACCATAATATTCACACAGTTTGTGGAAAATGAATCAACAGATAATATGTACTTTCTGTGAACTTGCCCTTCCGTTTCTCTTCTTGAGACCTACTCCCAGATTTTCTTCATGAAATTATGCAATCTGTTTGGCCATCTTCCCACGGAAGGAAAAACACCAGAGTGAGTGAGATAAAAAGAGAGATAAAGTTGGGTTTTCACTTGTGGGGAAGACCATAACTAGAAGTCATAAAGTAAGATAGTTCTTAATAAATCCAACCAGGCAGATTAGGTGAAACCTCGGGGGAACTCAGTGACTGGTTAGAATGTGGACCTCAACACTAAATGATTGCTTGATGTGAATAGCGTCAATGTATTTAACAGAACGATCGATAAACATGAAGGAGAAAGGAATAGAAAGTTCTGCTGAAAGAATGGGATGAAAAAAGGCTGAAAGTAGTCAACCTGAAGCATGACCGAGTGGGCGGTTTCTGTGCTGTCCATTCTGTGTAATTCTCTGCCTCTTAAAGTTGAAAAATTATGTAAAGCCAACTGGCCTCTAAACTTTTGAGAAGTACTAAACCTGATATTTTTATCTCAAATTATGAAGAAAGTGATGCGAATAGATGAGCTTGGTATTAGTGGTTGTGTTTATGCTATCTCCAAACCAGTTTAGTCCAGAATCAAACCTCGATATTAAATAGTGCAAGAATAATATCAGAAGTCATTACACAGCTCACTCCTCTTCAATATATCCACTGGGTGTAATAACATCAGAGAAAAATGGAGAAACAGGATGCAATGGATCTTTATTTAACTGTATGCCTTAATTTAGAAAAAAAGGGTAAATGTAAAGAAAATTGGCTCTATGTACCTACCTAAAGCCTTTAATTGGACATTGCTTGCAGATGTGACATTTAGCTTGGTGTTTTGCAGCTTCTGAAGTTATTAATCGATGTAGTACAGGCAACCAGACCATTGACTGGGGCTCCAATTTCATCCATTCCAGGAAGTGTGTGGCTTCAATTACTGGTTTATCATTAACCTGGAGATAGTACAGTAAAGAACATGCTACAGACATTCTGTTGATGTGATCTTCAAGTCTAGATTGTGTCCATACACACTAGCTGGATTGTGATCTGTGTTATGCTAATGCCAAGCTTAAACCATTTATTTTAAATAGGTTAACAGAATCATTGCAAAAATGCTGATGGGAAATTCTAGTATTTAGCGTAACAGGAAGGGTTGTGTTTTATTAAATAGGCATAGGGATAACTATCAACAATAATAAAATAAATACTTCAGGATACAAGGTTTTACCCAATTGAAAGAACGTTATAACATGGAATTGTATGACATCATTCATGGATTGTTGGAATGGGATGGAATAGAAAAGTTGACTGCAGTGATAATGGAAGATTGAGTGGGGAATTGAATTCTAGGTGTCAGAATAAATGAGGCGGTTTGAGAAGTTAGGAGGAGACAGAAGTCAGTGTTCATGTCAGAATCACTGAAGTAGGGAAGAAGTCAGATTCTGCAAAAGGAACTTGAGAAGTTCTGAATTAGGTTCTGAGTTCAGCAGCTCACCAGAATGACTCCCCACCATCTCGAATCTCAAAATCACTGTTGTAATAAGCTGCCTTGGCTCTCAGCCCTGCTTTGACTCCAGTGCAATCAGCCTCAAGTGGTGATAGGTTCCTTGAGCAGGCATCATACAGGTAGATGCGCAGTGGCTCATAAAAAGGATGTAACTTCACGCGAAACTATTAATGTGAATATATCATTCTTCGTATGATGACTTGGTGATATATGGAAAATATATTTGGCAAATGCTATGGGCTGGTATTTTGAAAGTATAAGTCAGATGGACAACTTTTAGATTTGAAGTATAATGAAAGAGGGCGTTATCACCCAGAAAGTGGTTTTCTGCACTACCCCAAGGATTACCACTATCTCTCCTGAGGGTATTGGATGGCTGAAGTGAATTGCTGGGCCAAGCCTCGCTTGTGTAATTTATACATAATAGACAGGGAAAGGATACATGGAATTACAGGTGAGGAAAATTGAGCCCATAGTGCAGAAAGGTAGGTTTCAGACTCATGGGGCATGAAGGCCAAAATAGGGCAGGAGTCAATTGTATCAAAGGTTGGCCTTCACTGAGATATCCTTATGAGGAGGACAGCAAGGCATGTTGGGAAAATTTAAATCAAGAAGGCAACTGAAACAAGAGATTAGAATAGGCCTCTTGGAAGGGAATGCAAATCTTAAGGTTTAGGGAATAAGAATTTTCTAAGAGGTTAAATAGTGCTAGAGGGTAAAAATGCAAAATAAATTAAGGATAAAAAGAAGGAAATGTTAAATCAAAATGAATGACTATAACTGCACAGTTAGGAGAAAAAAAGGTTGAGTACTGGATACATTAATTAAAATGAAGAGCTTCATTAAAATATAAAATCTCATTAAAATATATCTCATTAAAATAGAAAGTCTCATAAGAAGAGGTCTTAAATTGTGCTGTTGATGAATGTCAGTATGATCATGGATTTAGATGACCAGTCTGGGAGCAAATTATAATCCATCAGTATTTTAGATGTAGAGAATATTGTGTTCACTGCAGCTTCTGTCTTGGGGGGAGGAGACTGGTGGCAAATTGCTATTTTTCCTCTGCTGCAACACATAGATGAGTGAAATCTTCATGTACCCACTAACTTGTAAGTATGAACGGATAGATTTCAGTGACATCTTTGAAGCTCCCATTCCTGAAGTTGGTAATTATCCTATTATGGACACAATGTCCAGACACCATCACTAAGAGCAGCCTGTAAAATGCTTATATCAAGCTGTCGATTATGAGAACGGGGAGCTGTGAAACATGTGGGTTGTGAGGTTGCAATGTAATGTCCAGGTCATTTATTGCAGAGAAATGCAGCTAGTATTCGCACTTCATTACAATGGATTTAAACATCAAAACTCCAATCAAAACTAAACCAGAGTTCTGCAGCATAGGTCTGTGACATTTTTTTTTAGGTGGATGTTAGTTATTATCCAACAAATTCTTCAATAGCAAAGCTCAAGATTTATCTTCTGCAAGTCCAAAGACAAGCCCCTTTTTAAGGCAATGTATTACCCCCCAGATTAGCAGGTTTAGTAGCTATAATTTACATTTGGAAAACAGTATGAGTTTTTCCATACCTTTCTCCTTCTATTATTTATGCTTTAATGCTAAATCTTGAGATCGGTCTTAAAATTTCCGAGTTACTAATTTGGCAGATGGTGGAGCAGGGACAAATGACAGTTTGACATGGGAATGTGGACAGGAGGCTCGGTTACACCTGAACGTGAACAAATCACAAACAAATGCACTCACATGTAAGCATTTCCACCATATTCCCCAGTATGACATTTCTCAGGCTTGTCCTGCTCTTCATCTCACTCATTCTCCACGGGGGAAAAAAAAACTCATGATGGACTTACAAACCGAAAGCAGCTCCTGACACTGGGTTCCACATTGCTTCCTCCGAACGCTGCCACCTCGCCGAGCTGGCGTGGGATCTGAATGGCTTCATGTAGGAGAAGGCTGAGGTGGCGCTGATTACACAGGCTTGCTGAGTCACTCACTTGCTTGTACAAGTCTATGGAGGGAATCAATGTCAGGATGTTACATTGGGTGAAACAACCAGATTCAAAAGGGTGATTGTGTAGTGGCTTCTTTCAGGGGTAGCTCTGACTTGTCAGTGATGTATGGAGATGGTTCTGAGGGCTGGTGGGTGGGCAGTGGTGGAAGTAGTGGAAGTAAGTAATATTCATGACCAAAGGATAGTTTCCTAGTGCATTAAATACCTTTGAAGTGCAGCCAATGTTGTAAAATACATTTGATAGTGGTACTCTTAGTTGAGTATTATTAAAAGGACATGACTCCATCTTGTACGTTGGATGGTCTTTGTATTGAACTCCTCCCCACTCTCCCACCTTCCCACCCCCCTCAACACGTATGTTTTTGCAGTGTGTGGATTATTGTAATTTTAAGGCCTGTTTTTATTTGTGTTGGTGTACTTGACAATAGAGCTCGTAATTGCTTGATATTTGAGACACTTCAGAGTGAATTCTTTGAGGACTGATAGTCTGTGGACCCAATAAAGTCAGGAACATCTGTGTTGAGGTATAGAAGTTTTCTTGTTTTATCCACCTGGTATCAGCATTAAGTATGGCCAAAAGACAGATAGAGCGTAGTTTAGATACAAATAATGTTCCCCCTGCACTTAGCCCATTAAATTTTCTTGGTCTGATTTAACAGTGAATTATGATTAAAACCCTTGCTCTGCCTTATTAACAGTCATAATTTGGTAACAGTATAGCTTAGATGTAAAGAAGTGTCCCTCTGTACTACCTCATTGAGCACTCCAATCTGAGATGTCATTAAAAATGCATAATAAATTTCCCATTTATTCCTAACATGAGTCGTGATCTCAGAGGAATATTTCCTACTGCATGTCTTTGATATTGCATTTCTATTATCAGGTAAGTTACACTGTCTCTCTGGCACAGTCTATTTAAAGGGAGCTAGTAATAAAACAAACTTCTGGTAACTTGGCTCATATTGACAATAAAAAGCACAATTATGTCAGACCTTTAATCTGACAAGTTCCAGTACAGATACACCAATGGTGCACACTTGGTAATGTGAACATTACCCAGATATGTCCTGTCCTCTGAAAGCAGGGCAAATCCAACCGAGCCAATGACCACCCTATCAGTCTACTCTCCATCATTGAGAAAGGATTGCTGTCAAGCTGTACTTGTTCAGCAATAATCAAGTCACAGACATTCAGTTTGGGTCTTACCAAGGCCACTCAAAGCCTGACCTCATTACAACCTTAGTCCAAAAACATGGACAAAAAAAGCTGCATTCCACACGCAAGGTGAGAGTGACGGCCCTGGATATCAAGGCAACATTTAAATGAGTGCGGCATGAAGGAGCCCTGGCAAAACTGGAGTCAATGGGAATTAGGGGAGAAACTGGTTGAAAACATACCTCGCACAAAAGATGCGGTTAGTAATTGAAGGTCAACTATCTCTATTGTGGGACATCACTGCTGGAGTACCTTAGGTTGTGTCTTACACCTGACCATCTTTAACTGCTTCATCGATGAATTTTCCTTCATCATATGATCAGAGGTGGAGAGGTTTGCAGATGATTGCATAATATTCAGCACCATTGGTGACTTCTCAGACACTGTGGTGGCTTATGTTCATATTTGGTAAGACCTGGACAACAATATGCTTGGGCTGATCAGTGACAAGTAATATTCGCGCTGCAGAAGTATTGGGCAATGACCATTCTGGGGTTACCACTGACTAGAAACTGAACTGGACCAGCCATATGTATACTGTGGCTACATGAGCAGGTCGGAATCTGGGAATTCTGCAATGAGTAACTCACCTTCTGATTTCCTAGTGGGGTCAGGTGACCCATGACCTCCAGGATTGTTACAGAAATATTGACTTTTTTTCATGAGAATGGATGAAAACTTGAAATGTGGAAGCCAAGTTTAAGTCTAGCCAAACTGTGCAATTTGCAAACAACAGAGCTGGGAAAGACGGTATTCATGCAGGCAGGCCTTGGACAATCAACTTTCCCAGAAAGGGCTGGAACTTCCTGGCCAAATGCTAACAGCCATGTTGTTTCAGAAAGAATTGTTGTTTCCATCTCCAGTGAACCTGTTTTGTTTGAAGAATATTACACAGAATTGGTGGCACGCAGCTCAGTAGGTGGCTAGAGGGATACAGCGACAAGGACAGCACTTGATAGCTGAAGGTTCAAAACCATATTCTGCAATCTCCAAATATGGAAAGTAGTCACCTTATCGATCCTCTTTCTCTGATCTGATGCTGTTATTGGACACAAATCACAAAATCTTTGAGAAGGGTGCAATGAGAGGGATAAAACGAACAACCTGGAGACCCAGCTCTCTCTACTTTTGCACCTTCTTCAACTGCCTCCCCAGGAACACCTTTAACTGGCAGCCAAACTGCACAGTATCTCTCGGCGAGCATCAACAAACTGACTGACCCATAAAGATCACCTCCATGAGATGACCCGAAGATCAGAACCTATTTGAGAGGGGATGCCCAAATTGCCACTTGCAGATCCTCAAACATCAGCCAACCCTCAAAGACTACTGCCCCAGCCTATTGAACGGGTACTACCTGTCTTTTCAGACAAACAGTTCAAATACAGCAATAAGGACTTATGGTTAGGGAGTAGTGAATCCTCAGAAGCACATCAGAAATAGATAGCCAGTGTAGAATTGAGACTGTTTATTTAGAGTTTTAAGACTGTTTACTGAACAATCCTGTGAAGAGATTGATAAGATTTGATAGAATTTAACTGAAGTACAATAGGAGAGTCTGATAAACATTGTTTTCCATGGTAAAGTGTTCAATATAGTCATGTTGGACCTTCCCCTGAATCTTGTCCCCTTTGTCTATCTCATCATGAAACATACCAGAGTTAAAAAGAGTTACCGCAAACATGTCAAGGCTAGTCAGGGTACATTTACCCGCCCTTTCACTTTACAACACCAGTGCTTGTTTACAAACTACAATTCACAAGTGAGGTATGTGATGGAATACTCTCGACTTGGCCAGATGAGTGCAGCTCCAAAAGCACACAAGGAGCTTGACACCATCCAGGACAAAGCAGCTCACTTGAATGGCACCTCACTTTCAACATTCAATCCTTTCACCTCAGACATGCAGTGCCAGCACTGTGTACCATCTAAAAGATGCAGGTTGGTAATGGGCCAAAGTTCCTGCAACAGCATCCTCCAGATTTCTGACCCCTACTATCTAGAAGGACAAAGACAGCGGAACAACACCACTTGAAAGACCCCCTCCAAGCCACACACCATCTTGACTTGGAAATATATATTATGGGAATTTTTTTTGTACACAACAGTGAAAACAGAAGCAAACTATTTGTTCACTTCGTCTGCTATTTCCCCACTATCTCCTCTTAACACAATGACAGATCAGACCCCTGAAGTACCATGTCATTTTTCTAATTTTTACTTCCAAAATGTGTCTTTTTTTTGAGGAAGGCTAAAGACAAACATAGACTACAGAGTTGTCTGGCAAAGTCCTGCGTGGGATCCATGGAATTTTATACCTGATGAGTGACAGGGAAACCTCAAGCAGAGACAGACACATAACAGGAAAAGATAATGAGGCAGCTGACCATCTAACTTCTTTTAGCAGAAAACCACAGATTCCAGGAAGATACAAAGTAAGTGTTTAAAAATGGGATGCAACCCTGATCTTTGTGTGATCATGAAAGAAGGTGTGCTAGTAAACTGAGGTACTTGTGTATCAGCCAAGGTTGTGAAGGTCACAGTCGAAGAACCACCCATCAAATCACCCCTGTGTTGCAGGTAAAAGGATTCTCTTCCTCTTAGTACTAGAAGCCAGCTAGGTGATAAATCAGTCTAAAGAAATTAGGATACAAAATGACTCCCTCGATCTGAGTGCTGACAGCTATCAAAAGGAAATGGGACAAAAAGACTGCGAACAATCTGTAAAGCCAAGAATTCTGAAATCAACTGCTCTTTATTAATTCCCAACTATCTATTCTTCACAAATGATCCAAAGAGACTGATCTGTATATCTTTTAACTTTTGTCTTGTTTTTAGACTCACTTCTCTTTTTTCCTAATCTGTGTAGACAGGTGTTGCATTATTATTTTTTTTCCTGTGTTTAGTAAGTAATAAATCACTAGTTTATTAACTGAAGAAAGCTGGTTAAATTCGCTGTTGGCAGAAAAGGAAATCCTCCTTCTTTCAAATTTTCAAATTCTTGCTGTGACCAACTGAGACACCAAGTGAATAAAGAGAGGAGCCAGTTCATCCCTCCTCCCCCAGGGTCTGGTTATAACTATAAACTTCCTGTTCCCACTATCTAGATGACCAAATTCACTTTAGTGACTTCTTCTCCTTCTTAAATATCTGTAGAAACTTGTGCTATTTGTTTTTACATGGTTTCTCTTTTACTCTAATGTTTTCCTCCTTATTAACACTCAGTTTTTCTCTGCTGTCTTTTATATTCTCTACAATCATCTGACCTGCCGCTCAACTTTGCAAAATTATAAGCTTTTTCTTTAAGTTTGATGGTTTCATAATTTCTTTTGTTAATCATGAACGGTGAGCCCTCCCATTTCAGCTATTCTTTATCATAGGAATCTACTTATCCTGAGTATTTTGAGATATACCCTCAAATATCTGCCACTGCATCCCTATTGATACATCCTGTAGCCTAGAATTCCAGTTCACTTCAGCCGGCTTAGCTATCATGGCCTTTTTAAAATTTAAAATATTAGTCCTAGAGCCACTCTTTTCTATTTCAAACTGGATTTAAAATTGAATCATATTGTACTCCCTGCTACCCAGGAATGTCTGAGGTGATTAATTTATTCTATCACATTACGTGATACCAAGCCACTCATACATTGAATGTGAAGCACTTTAAGATGCTCTGGAAAATGTAACAAGATGCTGAACAAACACAAATATTCCTTTCCACCTTTATGTTTGATATTTACACTGATATTTCTCCTCGACCTCTGCATTGCACAAAGTGATAATTCCAGTCTTGAAGGACAGAACTCGAATCTTGCCGTTGCGACCACTAGGGAGGAATGAAAGAACAAAAAGTAAAAAATGATTCCAAAGTGAGAAACCAAAAAACTGGCATCTAAAAACTGAAATCTTATTTGCATCATTACAGAATTGACTATGTCTGTTAAAGTCTCCTTTTCAAAAACAGAAGTGCTTTCAAAAGCTCCAAGAGTTTGTATTGTTTGTCTATCTGCCGAGTGTGGTTTGATTCTGAGTCTGTGAGAGCCGGTTGTTTAAATGTGAGCTTTGGCAACAAGCAGTATCAGTTAATCTAACATCACAGCTTAGCTCAGTACTGTTTTCATCCAACATTCACACATGTGCATTCCCAGCATGATACTTGATAATAAACAGGAATAAGAACTCTGGTGAAATTTTCTGCTCCTTGGCTCACATGTCCTAGAATCAATTTCAGGACCTTATCTATTAGCATTATCCTGAGGCAGACTGTTATCAAATCTGGGAATTTCTTAATCTTAATGTCTTATTGCATATTCAGTCATTGAGCTACTAGGGATTGATGTAGTGTCTGATGGGACATACAGAATTCATTTCTTACAAGAACTGCTAAAACATGTCTTATGAAAATTAATACTTCCTACTCAAAACTTTGAGAATAAAACCTATCTTTATTCCAGTTTATATGTGTATGATTGCATTCTTCCTAATTTTGGCTATTTTTACATGACGAAACTACTCACTGAATATCTATTCTATTAGGCAGAAATTGCATAACTGTCTCCAAATTACACAGGATTGCATAGGAATAATGGCACAGAAACAGGCCATTCAGCCTAACCAGATTTTATGCTTCATATGGCCCTCCTCCCGACTTTTTCTTCTAAATCTACTGTTGTAACCATCAATTCTCTTCTCCCCTTAAATGACATTTATTTGAGCTACTGCCTTTGGTGACGGGTTGAATATTGTCACCATTGGGTAAAAACATTTCTTCTGAATTCCCGATTGAATTTCTTGGTGACTGTCTTATATTCGTGATCTTTAATTGTGCTCTTCCCCACAAAAGGAAAAACATTCTCTCTGTATAAGCTCCATTAAAACCTTTTGTGATTTTAAAGACCTCACTTAGGTCATCACTTAGCCTTTTTTTCAAGAGAAAAGAGACTCAGTCTTTGCTGAAATGTGCAGCCAAATTTCTGGTTTATCAGTGTAAATCTTCCCTGCATTCCCTATAGTGCCTCTACACCTTTTATCAAAAGCGATCAGCACTGCAAGTAGTAGTTTAGGAATGGCGAACCAAGGTTCAGTACAAATTCAATACTACTTCCACCCACCCCATCATTTTTCAATTCTACACTTTTCAAAATAAAGGCTAGTGTTTGTTATTTTCTTTTAAGGCCTTGCTAATCTCCTATGCAACCCTTAGTGATTGGTGCACTTATATGGAGATCGCTTTGTTCTTCCATCTCATACAGATTTATATCTTTCAAGTAATGAGTGACCACTGTATTCTTCCTACTTAAATGCACAACATTTATTATTGAACTTCATTTACACATTATTTCTTATTCAGTATTAACATAAGCCATCACTATGTCAAACCATAGATTTTTTTTGTTGCATGAATTCAAGACTTTCCCAAACTTATTTCATATCATCTTTACAGCAAACAGAGAGTTCTAATCCAACATTTTGGCCTGGATTGTGATCCAAGATCTACAGGTGAATGCCGTCAGGCTAACTGAATGAACTAACCACGTCCTGTGAAATATAATGTTTTCTGTTTATCGTAATTTAATCTAAACAACGTGATGTATTACGGCTCATGCTCAACTGCCAGGCAAAGCAGATCATAAAAAGAGAGGTGAAATTAAAACTTACGTGTCATAGACATTGAGAAGCCAGTTAAGACACATGTCCACAGAGAGAGGCACATTAATGATGATCCCACGCTCCTGCTCAAGGTGATCATACATGGTGGTGAGGCACTGGATGATTTCCAGAACATCAATTGTCTGGTCACTTTGCTGTAGCTTGTACTGAGTGAAGATGTTGGAGGCACTGGACATGCTCAACAGATCCACTGACAGCAGATAATGCAGACACAGAAAGTGAACAACATAAAACATGCTATTTACAATCAGCACAAATCGTCACCATTGGCAGTAAAAAATTTTAAGAACCAACTCCCTGGGCATCTTCCCCAGAATGAAAATGAATTGCATTCAAGGTTCAGCTTTTACATTTAAATGTTAGCCCAGCAACATTTCACAAGAAGATATCAGTTCCCCTTAAAAGCAGTAAGCTGAAATGATAGCCTGTCACCTCGATTTTCAATGTCCTGGTTTAAATGCAACAGAAGCTGCCTGATGCTTTTAGAAATCTCTGATCAGAGCAACCATATTTGAGAGACAAGGAGCAGAGGAGTTTCATCGTGTTGGCTATTCTTTTGTGGAAGGTGAAACCTCTTCCTTTCAGTATATTTTCACCCTCATTCCACTTCTTTAGGTTTTCCTGTGATGCACAAACCCACTCCAGCCAAGAAGATAGCAGGTTGGCCTATTCCCAATCCTCAATCTGCAAACCCCACTGTGAAAGGACAGACAGCAGTAAATGTTCCTTTTTGTTTAGGAAGGAGCTGGCCTCAGCTTAGCATTTCCATATGGCAACATTGCTAGTAAAGCTGATAATGCAGTCCTGAACCATATGCTGATGGAGCTATAATTTGCTAATGCAGGATTGACTCGCTGGTGTTTTTCAAGGCATTCAGGGTATGTTTCACATAATCTCTTAGGAGCTGAGATTTCTCAAGACACTTTCTTTTGTGTTTCTAAAATATTTTCATTACATTATGGGCAAACAGGATATTTAAATGAAAATCCAGAGTTTTGTTAAGCTTTGCACACAATTGCTGATCAGGTTTTTACTAATTCAAGTGGGGAGTTCTGAGGAAGGGTCACTGGACCGGAAACATTAACTCTTTTTCCCTTCATAGACGCTGCCAGGCCTGCTGAGCTTTTCCAGCAACTTTGTTTTTGTTGTGAGGAGATCTTGGCTTTATGAAGTAGTATAAAGCAAGAGATAGTGAGTCAGTAGCCCAACTTGTATCATTGTTAACCTTAACAGAAATTGGAGTTGGGAGAGATGAATTTTTTTAATTCACTCAGTTTTCAATTTTGCGTTAGGTCAAGATGTGCCTACAGGTCCTTGTTGCCCATCAAATTTCATCAACTCTTAATGGGTACTAAATAGCACTGATTGTCTGATAATAGCACCACAATGTCAGAAGCACTTAAGTAGCATGAGCATCCCTGTAGTTGAGGCTTGAAGTGCAAATAAGGTCTTCCAGGCAGGTCTACAAACTGAAGCAGCTTCAAGCTAAGGGTAATGTGCAACCCATTAATTCAAGTTGGAGGACTTACAAATGTTACTCCAAATCAGGTTCTGAACTAGTTTAACTTTGTTAACAGCCCAACATAGATTTACATGAGCTTACGACAAGGCACTGCCTGGATGCTACATGGCCATTGACAGAAAATGCAGTTCCTTGAGAACATGGAAAACAAACTTACAGCGGAGTGCCTTCTGCACACGCCTCAGCTTCATGGCGGTTCGGTAAGCTGAGAATTTGATGTTATTTAGAGCAGCTGTTAAGAAAAAGTGGAAAAGAACAAAATGCCTATTATTTCACATTACTCCCCCTTGTGACAGTAAATTATACTGCAATTGTTAATAGATAGTCACTGATTCGGGATCAGATTTCCAGCTGGACAGCAAAAAACGGAAATGGATTTGCAAAGTCATGCTGCAACAGTCGACATCAATAACTCAAGTGAGTTTACTTTTTCTTTTTATCCATATTTCAGAGAGATTTCCAATCAATATCTGACTTACTGAATGTCACGGGGCTGCTGTGAACATCGGGATTAATATATGCCACAGGGACAAGCTTGGATTGGAAATCTTACCAAGTGACTGGTACAATTCGGTCATCTTTGGGTGATCCCAGCATGTGGTCTGGCCCTGGTGACTAAGCGGATAAAAGAAAGAACATTAGATGACAAGAAAATCTCAGAAAAAGAAAGCAAGTGGATTGATACTGAAAACAAAATAATGCTGGAAATCACAGCGGGTGGTCAGGCAGAATTCATGGAGAGACAACAAGCTAAGGTTTTGAGTCTAGAGATGATTTTTCATCAGAACAAGTGAACTGATCTTTGAGTCATAACTTCTGTTTCCTTGTGATGAATTATGAGGCAATTGATTTGAGAAGCTCTCTCATGGGTAGGAGGTACAATAGTTACTTAAGAAAGACAAAAGGTCAATAGCTAATGTCAGGTTATGAACATATTTTCAGATGATATAAAAGAAATACATTCTTTGTGTTGCGATCATTGAAGTAAGGATGTCAGTGTTGGAAATTAAATGAAAGTTTCCCACTGCTCCATGATTCTGCAGGTTGTGACTCATTCCAGAGTATTAGTTTATACATATTGTCTATGCAATGACGTCACATCTCGGTGGGTTTGTTTGACAAGTGAATGCGAACAGAAATTATTAGTGAGTTGACTTGCGACAAGAAAGTTCAATGTAGCTCAATTTTGTCCTCATTTGAGGACCCATCCATATACCTTCCAGCTGGAATCATTGGCTATCAACAAGAAACACAATATCCCCCACTGATATCCCATTCCTTCAGAGCCCAAGGCCACCTTGGCCAACACAAACACCACTCCAGCACTGTGGCCAAGGCCATTTGGATCTGCAAAGCGAAGAGAATTAAACAATGTGGGATTAAGTTTAAACTTTTGTTATTAGTATAAAGAAGATGAACCTGGTCAACTACCCATTACACCCCTCACCTGATCAACAGGAGAGGCATGGCAGCAGTCCAAAGTACCTAATTCACGTGATCCCTAAAATTATCCCATCTCACAATTATGGTGGGCAATGTGAATACAGCCAGACCTACTGGAGAAACAATGGGGCACTTTCTTTAACTATCACCTTGTGCAGATTAAAAACTACTTCTAGGTATAAGCTTTGACAACACTTGTGCTCTTCCAGTCAAATCAGGAATGGATTAATACCTGATATCACAATTGCCTGGATACTGATCACTGCAGATCTTAACATGGGTCCAAAGAATCTTTCTTTTGAATGGATTGAGGATGAAACAGTGACTGCTGCTGGCTATAGGAAACTATAGACGCTGATGAAAATTCATTAATAATAGCAGAAAAATGTAAACACATCTCTGAAACATTGATCTGTACCTTCCTGCTGATCCCCATTCTCTCATTTGCATCCAAATTACTTCTACAACTGGAAGAAGCCAGTTTACCATCAAAACCTTGCACTGCCATGGCATTTCAACATGGCAAATTCTCATTTTTATAGACTGTCTGAGCTTGAAATTTTAATGAGGGTTTGAACTCAGGATTTTTTTTTGCATTTTACTCATGGCTAATTTGGAGGATGCTATCTAGTAGAGAAAAAAAATTGAAAGGGAACTGAGCCAGTTAAAATGGGATGCTTAAAGGAACATCCTTCAATGCAATTTTCAAATTTAAAAGAGCTCCTAATCAAAAAGGAATTAGCCACAATCCAACATTGTCGCAAAAGTATTTACAAAATGAGAACATCTTAGAAAGACACCACAAATTTATTAGCAGGAAAGAGAAAAGACAGAATAATATTTTGGATGTGCCACTTGCATTTCCAGCATTTTCTCTTCTTGTTTTTGATTTTCAATGTTGACAGATTTGCCTGAAATCATCTGCCTGAACTGAGAATGTCCCCAACCAAACCTGATGCTACTTCTTCATGATGGCCCACATAAACATAGGGCACAGTAAAACACATAGTACCTCTAAAGTATCAAAACGTGCTATTAGTTTCCCTCTTTGCTCATGTAGTTTATAAACTATTCATGGTATGAAGTGGCTAAAGAAAAAGAGTCCAGAAACTGCTCAAATAATTATAAGTTCAGAAATTGAGAATGAGTAAGGAGAAACACAAAGGATGGCAGAATACAAAAGCAGTTGTGGTTGTTTGAATGGGACCCCTCTTCCTCTTGTCTAACTTAGTCTTTAATTTTTTTTTCTTTATTCATTCACGGGATGAGGGCGTCGCTGGCTAGGCAGCATTTATTGCCCATCCCTAGTTGCTCAGAGGACAGTTAAGAGTCAACCACATTGTTGTGGGTCTAGAGTCACACGTAGACCAGACCAGGTAAGGATGGCAGTTTCCTTCCCTAAAGGGCATTAGTGATCCAGAACCAGTGAACCAACAAACAATTGACAATGGCTTCATGGTCATTATTAGACTCCTTAATTCCAGACATTTTCTTGAATTCAAATTCCACCATCTGCCATGGCAGGATTTGAACTTGGGTCCCCAGAACTTTATCTCGGTCTCTGGATTAACAGTCCAGTGATAATACCACTAGGCCATTGCCGCCCCAATTTAATTGCTCAAATTATGCAATGATTCAAACACAATCACAAAATTATCATCAAGCGTACTTTGATCTGTCATGGTTTGGCAGGCCGGAGCGAGTGGGCCGAGCCCCGTGGAGGACCGGAGTGAGCAGCATGGGTTTGCGTTCGGGGGCCTGCAGGCATGCCCTGTGAGCCCCAGAACACCGCGAGCAATGAGCCGTGTAGCAGCGTGTGGGCCGTGAGCCTGGAGTAGCTTGGAGAAGAAGCCCTGCAGCAGCACATGGGAAGCAGCCCTCCCGGAGCAATGTGCAGGCAGCGAGATCTGACAGATACTGGTGTGAGGAGACAATCCTTATCTTAGAACACTGTAATTAACTGTAATGTTAACCCCTTAATATATTCCTATTTTTAAACTTATTTTCAACTATGTAATTAAACAACTACTTTTATCTCTGTGCTGTGTCCAAGAATTGAACCGAGGTACTTGTACCTAAGCTGTCGCCATAAGAAAGCAGACATTGTAAACGTTTTTCCACTCTACTCCTACAATGGGGCACACATGACAATAAAACGATATTGTATTGTATCGTACATTGACCCAGCTGTGAACATCATCGTAGATAGCTCTCCATTAATGCTAATGACTATAAGTGATGTTTACTCTGTTTTAATGCTACCATCACATTTTTGAGACAATTTCATTAACCTATAGGTTGGACAGTTACAAATTGAAGATTTGTGAACCTAATTCTGATTTGCACCAATAACCTAACTGTTGTTACGGCATACTTCACTTTTCTATCAGATCTTTTTTATCATAATTCAATCTCACCCATCATTCTTCTGTTTCTTGGCTAAATTCAGCCCATTATGTTGGCCAGTTTTAATGTTTTTGCATTCCTGTCTAATCCATTTTATCGCAGGCACTGTACATTTATTTTAGGAATCTTAATTTTAATTTGAAATAAGCTAGCCACTGAATGAACCAGGAATACAATGATATTCAAATAGAAAGTGCTGGAGAAACTCAGCAGGTCTGACAGCATCTGTGCAGAGAGGAACGAAATTACTATTTTGAGTCCAATATGACTGTTGCTTTTAGTTTATACAATGAAATTCACTGTGCAAAATGTCATCTGGAGAGAAAATTAAACTGCCTGTAATTTGATCATTCAGAAGCTTCTCAGGCCAATTTTATCGTATCTTCTGCTCCTGAAAAGAACATCACTAGCCATTAATCTGCCGTTGTAGCAAAACACCATCTGGTTTCCTGCCAAAGCTATTTCTTGTAATTTCAGTGAATCTTCCTGCTTTCAATCACAAACATTTGCTCTTCTAAATGTTTATTCTGCAATATGGATTATTTAGTAAATGAACTGAGTGTTAAAGAGTAATCAATTTGTGCTTTCACACTGATGGTATGGGTGTTCGTTTTTGCTGAGGGTGCTAAACATGTTCTTCTGAATAAATAATGCCTCTAACATGCTGGGCCTTTTGTTTTTTTTCTAACAGCTTGTCAAACAGTAATTAATGGAAATGTGAATATTTATGCAGGACTTATTTCATACTCACATCACGTTCATTTCTCCCATTAAAAGGTGATATGAAAGAGAAAATTGAGCAGGCAACATTCAAAGAAAACAGCAGGAAATGTCATATTGTTGATGAAAGAAGTCCCTTTCTTAAAAAAAAATCTACAATATAGCATGCAACTTTTAGGATATTCTAAGGAACTCAAAGTGACCAACTTCAAGGACACCATGGAGCAGGGACTGAAAGACAAACCTAAAATTTCCAGTTGTGTGGTCTTCCTGATTCACAAGGTATCATTTATTCCACTTGTTGTTTGTGCAGGTAATGTTCCTCTTTTATTTAAGGAAAGAGCTATTTTATCCCAAATGGTTAGAAGGTATGCAAATTTGTGCCCTAGAATAACGTCATTAGCACTGATGGAAGATAATTGTTCCAACTTTATTGATCTGTAGCTCTGCCCAAATTGGATCAGGTTGTATGGTGATGGACCAGCTGATTTTACATGCTTTTCAACATTGCATATATGCACAAAGATTAATGCTAAATTTCAAGAAGTGTTTCCATCCTGAGGAGCCCAAAGATGCGGCAGTTGTTTGAATTGGAAGACTGTCAGATTGGCTCGAAAGGGATTTTGAGAATTTGCTGGTCGGTTAAGATTTAGTGTGGCAGAGAGCAAGTTGGTGTGTTTAAGTGTGAAATGCTGTATGCTTTACCATATTGTCATTTAAAGAAGCATTCACAGGAAATTAATGGCCCTCTGTTAATGTTTGGGGGTAGTGGGAATGAATGATTGGCAGGAGGATGCAGGGTGGAGATCCCAATGCCTTCCTACTTCCTGCTATAAGTCAGGGCCAGGAGGGATTGTGGGCGGTCTTTCTGTCTGAACACAAATTGAGACCCTTAAGTAAGCAATTAATTCAGCACCTTTGACATACATGAAACAACCAATGCTCCACTCCCAACCAGTCCAAGCCATATACATCAGTCGAGCAGAATGCAGGCTATGTGATTGTGCCTCTAAATTATTAAAAGTTTATGCATAACATGCACACCT